ATAATCCTCGGACGGATATAATTTACCGAGTATAATATTCTTCTAGATTACCGGTAGTACTAAATAATTTAGCCGGATTAAAAAAGTCTCTCTAATAAGATTATAAGTAAGATTACTATTCCTTTTCTAACCGAAATCTTAAAAAGGCTATTAAAGATAGACCCTATCTATTAAGCTAATATAGAATAATATAATCGCTTTTTTAGATAATAAGATTAGTAAGATTAGTAATTCTAACGTACCTAAAAGTATTAATATAGATACTAGTAGGTTAAAAAGAAATAGAAGATAATTTAAAATTTAGAGGATAAAACGAAAGTTCTAAAGCCCTAGATATCGACGAAGAAAGAGTAATCCCCGATTAGTATTAATATCTACGCGATTAGAGGTATTAGATTTAATTAATTTTATATAAGAAGTAAGGTTAATAAAAAAACCGAAATCTTTATTACTTTCCTCTATAAAATCGACTATATTATTAATATTAAAAGTACCTAAATATAGGATCCTAAAATTAATAAGATACTCCGGACTCTACTAAAGAAGTACTATAACCTTATAGAAGTTTTCTTAAAGAAGAGATCGGATAAATTATTATCTTATAGATCTAGAATTAATTATAATATTATATTTAAAGCCGAAATATAACCTAGATATTATCCTCTTTATAAGCTATCTCTTTATAAATTAAAGAAAGTAAAAAAGTATATTATAAAGAATCTTAAGAAAAGATTTATTATTCCGAGCTTAATACTATATATTTCTCTAATCTTAATAGCGAAGAAACCTAGAAATAGTCTTCGTTTCTATATCGACTTCTAAAGATTAAATACTATTATAAAAAAAGATTATTACCTATTACTATTAATCGATAAAGTCTTATAACGAACTAGTAAAGCGAAGTTCTTTATAAAGCTTAATATCTAATAAGATTTCTACTAAATTTATTTAATACCGAGAGTAGAAGAGCTTATAACTTTCTATATATAGTATAGATTATTTAAATATAAAGTTATACTATTCGGATTAATAAATAGACCTACTATATTCTAATAATATATAAATAATATATTATAAGAGTACCTAGATAAGTATACTATAGTCTTTATAGATAATATCTTAATCTATAGTAAGACCTTTAAAGAGTATTAGTAATAAGTAAGGGAGGTACTTTAATATCTATAGAAAGTAGGTCTTTAAATAATATTACCGAAATACGAATTCTCTATATAGAAGATAAAGTTCTTTAGTTTTATTATAAGTATAGACGGTATTATAATTAATCTAGAAAAGATTAGTATTATTTAGTTATAGTAAGCCTTAATAATTATAAAAGAGGTTTAATTATTTTTAGGATTTTATAATTTCTACTAATATTTTATTTAAGGATATAGTACTATCTTAAAATCTTTATATCGACTTACTCGATAAAACGTTTCTTATAAATAGACCGAATAATATAAAGCTGTTTTTTTATTATTAAAGAAGAAGTTAATAATTATACCGGTTCTCCGTTATTATAATCTAATTTAACGGATAAGAGTCGAGACTAATACTTTTAATAGGATACTTAGAGTAATTCTCTCCTAGTATTATAAGAATAATAACTTTTAGTATTTAGTAGCTTTCTTTTTAAAAGAGTATATAATCCGCGGAGTTAAATTACGAGATATAGGATAAAGAACTCTTAATAATTATTTATATACTATAGGAATAGCGATCTAAACTTAAAGATTTAGTATAAAAGGATTATTTCGAGATCTTAATAGATTATTAGTCTTTTAAATATTTTATAATAATAAGATAGATAAATTAATAATAAGTAAGATAAAGCGAGTTCCTATCTTAGTTCTATTTTATAATTAAATATCGCCTAGGAAAGAAGAATATTATAGCTAACGTCTTATCGCGAAAAAATTTACCTTATATTAATAATAGTAGATAAATAATATTTTTACTAAAGAGTTATTTAAAAGAAGATATCTATCTAGTCGGTTTAAACCTAATCGATATAGAGTATATAATAGATATTATCGGGCGAGTAAAGTAAGCTAACCGAGAAAGTACTAAGCTAGCGGATTTTCGATAGATAGCTAGAGAAGGTAGTAATTAGAAGTAGACTATCGAAGAAGATTTACTCTTATTTAAAAGACGACTTAAGATTCTAGACAAAGAAGATTTATATATAAGACTTCTTAATAATATATATCGATAACTATTAATTATATACCCTAGAATTAAAAAACTAAAGAAGCTTATCTTATTAAGATATTATTAGCCGAGATAGGCTAATAATATAAAATAATATATAAAAAACTACTTAGTTTATAAACGAATAAAAGTTTAGCGAGATTATATATTTAGATTACTATATCCTTTACTTATTCCTAAGAGATTTTAATAATATATTTCGATAGATTTCCGCTTATTTTTAAAGGATCGTTATAATTACGATATTATTTTTATAGTTATTAACCGACTAAGTAAGAGACTAATTTCTATTTCTTATTATAAGGATACTAATACTAAGTAGATAGCTAGATTATTTATTAATAATATAATTCGGACTATAGGTATTCCGGAGACTATTATATCTAATTAAGGCGGATAGTTTATTTTAGAATTCTAGACTAAGTTCTACCGGATACTTAGAATTAAAAGGAAGTTATTAACTACCTATTATTCTTAGACCGATAGATAGAGCGAGATTATAAATTAATATATAGCCTAGAGGTTACGACTATATATTAAATAGAATTAAGATAACTAGTTAGAGATTCTACTAATAATAGATTTTATAGTATTAATTCTTCTATAGGATACTATAAAGTAGTTACTATTCTTTATTAAAAGAGATTACGAACTAGCTATATTCTTTAACTAGAAGGACCGAAGTAATCTAACGGATAATAAATAGGATATAATTAATATATTATTATAACTTTAAGATATCTAGATAAAGATAAGAGATTAGATTATAAAGTCCTAGTAGTAGATAATTTAATAGGCGAATAAGTACTAAAGAAAAGAGGATTTTAATATTAGTAATTAGGTTTTTATTATAATAAAAGATTAGTAGCTAGACCGCCTAAATTAGAAGCTTTCTTACTTAGCTAGTAGACCCTATAGGATTATCGAGAAGATCGGAAACGCCTATAAGCTCGATCTTCTAGAATCTATTAAAATTTATCCGGTATTTAATCCTAGTAAGCTTCGAAGAGCGTTATTATTAGAACTATTACGCGGATAATATCTAGACCTACTACCGCTAATTAGGATCTCTAAGGAAGATAAATAGGAAGTAGATAAGGTTATCGATTTACGCCTTTATTACTAGAAGTTATAGTATCGAGTTTAATAGCTCAGCTATAATCTCGACCTATAGTAGTATCTTATAAGAAATTTTAAGTATATACCTTAGAAGATTTAGTACTTCTATAACAATTACCCTCTAAAGCCCGGACCCCCGATACGCTTGTAAGCCTAGTTAGATACGGCTAAGGACGAAGTCTTCCTTAAAGATTATAGGGATAACGATAAGCCGGTATTTAGGGGCTAAATATATTTTTGGTCGGGGGTTATGTGACGATTTGTAGGGTTTTCTGCTAGTTGACTCCGCCTATAGAGTTTTCTGCTGACTGACTCCGCCTTTAGACGAGTCAGTTGGTTCTACCGTGTGTTTCCGCCTTGTAGAGATTTCTGCTGATTGTTTCCGCCTTCGACCTAGGACCCACCCCACAATGTCTTTTGGTCCTATTGATAGATTCTTTTCTTCTCTTTTCTTTTTCCTCCCTATACTTAATGTTCTAGTTAAATGCACTCTTTTTGTTAAAGAACTGGCTGGTAACACTATCTACTAGAAATCTTCGACTAGTATCTCTATAGATTATAATCGGGATCGAATTTAGTAGGACGAGGTAGATTATAGTCGGCGACCTAATCGATTCGCGTTATACTTAATCTATTAATAATCTATCGTTTCTATCTTACTAGATTACTACTATTAAGAGCTAATTTAATACCCTTATTAAGCTTAATCTCCTTTACTTTAGGAAGATTAGTCCCCTATATACGTATCCGTCTAATAGGACTACGTTGTTAATATTACTATCCCTAACTATTAGAAATAGGATTGTATTACTAGCGAGAAGTAGGGAGAGAACGTAAGGAACCTTCTCCTCCGTTATCGTTATTATCGTAGGAACTAGTCATTTTGACTATACGTCGAGTATCCGTCTTCGGTCTCGATCAAAAGAAATACGCGAAGCGGTACCGTCCGTCGCGTCGATAAGGTGACCACGGAAAACGAAGCTTCCTAGATAATTAGAATGATGAAAATGTTGACTTATAATAAGATCGTCGATAAAAATCAATGTCAACGATGGGATCGATAGTCGAAATATAGAGATACGGAACGGGCCGAAAAAAAAAAAAAACGCGTCCCACAAAAGAAAAATGAAAACTCTGATTGGTTGAAAATTTCAACGAAAAGATGCTCGGAGTCGTACGAGCAAGGGCTTATAACCTGTCAGATGGAATGCAGGCTATGTAGGAATGAATGTTAACCTCAAAGGATTAGAATTGTAGACTCTGGAGAGAAAGAAAAGAAGAGAAGAAAAACTAGCTACTGTCTACCATTATCCTGAGTTCTGTGGGTCAGGATCACCTGCGGCCCCACATGGCCGTCACGTGACTCCAACAATTATGCTTCCCCCCTCTCTCCATACAATTCTTCATCGTGTAGAGATCCCTAGAGATCTGCAGCAGGTACGGATAATTGCGGCTTCATGGTATTTAGAATCACACAATACTCTATTAGATGCAGTTATGAACTTCTTTGGATGGAGAAATACCATGGGAGTATATGGGTTTCATGACTATGTAGATACATGTAGGCAAGGGCATGTACAAAATTGAGCGTCAAACCCAAAAAAAGACTGCATTCACTTCTACCACGATACACCGTTATCAACCACTCTCTAGACTTCCACGGAATAGCTTTAAACTGCCGATTCTACCATTCTGCAAAACGCATCATTGACGGCCTGAATAGCGAAACTATCCTGAGGCATCAAGTGGGCCGCTCCTCCTTCCACTACCGTCGCTTGGGCACTGTCACATAGGTTCAACAACGTTCTGCAGCCGTCGATCATGGGGTCATCCGATCCGATGACATGGCAAGTGGGAAAGTGGAAGACCGTCCCGACCTCATCGGCGAGAACGAACTTGGACCCATTGGAAACGTAGGGGGCGTATCCACCGTAAAAGAGCGCACACTTGAACGGATTAGGGGCTTGGCGAGTTAGGCGGTCGAAAATGAGCGCAGCCCCGATTGAAGCTCCTTCACAGTACCCAATTAGACCATCAAAGGGCCCATCTTGGTCAATTATATCATTCAGATACCCAACAGACCGGCCAATGCTCTCCTTGAACTGACGCTGCTCGTCCAATCCCTTTGGATAGAACCAGTCGAACGCATCGCGCCATACCTGCTCAGCACTGTCCATCCCGGTTCCATCGATTTCTTGGAGCAGACCTGGTACAGTGGCTTCCTGGGGATACTCAACATACCGCAGGTATGGTCCTGGGCCTGCATATGCAGCCAGATCGGCTGAGATAAATGGTATTTCATGCAACGGTTTCGCATATTGGAATTGGACCTGGTATTCAGCAGACAATGCAGCGTTGAGGGGCTCTGGCACACACAGTTAGAGACAATCAACAGAACAATACTGCTTACTCACCTAGCTGTTCCTTGAACAACTACATCCATCGTCTTAGCATCACTCCTGTAACTCGATGTTGAAATGTACATACCTGCTCGCCTGTCCCGCCCCCATAAAGACAGAGAAATTTCATTTTTATTGAAAAGAAAAAAAAAAAAGGATTTTTAGGAAGAAGTATTGATAGAACTGCCCTTCGATTGTTTGTTTTGCAGATTCTGTAGGGAATCTGGTTCAGATTTATTCCTGTTAGATCTGACATACGAAAAAGACATTCGTTGCCCTTATAGTATTTCTTAGCACTAAAAGGGCGCGGAAGTTAGAAGAAGTGTGTAGGTCTATAGCAGCCAGCCTATTAGCGGCTCGCGCGGATCAAACCAATTTCCAGTTGAAATTTGAGTAACATATTATTATTCTATCTACATGTAGCTATGTACATGAGACCGATTAAACCCTTTGCATTTATCTGTCAACCAGAGGCCGCAGTGGCGTCGAATATGCCTCAGAGTCACACCTGATAATAAAGGGGTAGAGGCAGTGAACAACCTAGGGAGTGAAAAGGGCATTAGGGCATTTAGAAGTAGCCAAACCTTTTGCTACTTCTAGGAAATGTCCGAGGGTTTTGATGTGCTTATTATGACATTTTTTACATATATAGTTAAGATAGAATAGTGAAATCCCCCTATATAGACTTATTAAATGATACACTGTAAATGAAATGCATAACTGCATTACTTCTGAATGTATTCGATAAGCATAAATTCTCACATCAGATATTTCCTGTTCGTAGAAAGCGTTACCTCGGATCCATGGAAGATTTCTCAAATTTTGTAAGATTTGTCAAGTGGAAATTATAGCGATATCACTATATACCTACAATGCTCCTTTGGTGTCTATTGTCTATCTATATGATATCTATGACATCCATGCATAGTAGATGACTACAAAAGTAGCTCGTCGTCCCCTGGATGCCACGGTTTCCATGCCATTTCCGAGTATATCATCGTCAGCCCACATCCGAACCCATCCATATGCTAGTAAGACATTATTTCCAGCAAATAATAGACGTTTTCACTACACCCTTGTTATTACCATGAACTATCTTCATTCTAATGATGACATAATGTTTCACTGTGATATTCATTCTTATAGGACCTGCTTCGTCCTCGTGCCCTACTAAACCTGTTATACAGCATAGTTAGTCAAAGGTTAATCCAACATGTTACACATCATAAAAGTGTTAAATAGAGGCGGGGTTACCTCGGGTAGGTCAAGTATTGATGTTTAAATCTTTTTGACTGAACTCTAATGCCAAAACAAGCCCTGTAGAGCGGCCTAAATGTAATGCCTGATTTTTCAAGATTGATGCGTTAATGTGTCCGAATTTGCCTGAATTATGGGACAGAAGTTGGCGTGTTTAGCAATATATGGTATGGATGGCAGATATGTAATTCTCTAACTGACTAAAATCAACAAAACCTGCTCTGCTGTCTGGATAGTTAACTAGTTAATCTACAGGTCCACGGGTCCACGGGTACGGACATGGCTTACTAACAATATTATATCCATGGACCTCGGGAGTAAGCTGATTTTCCGGCTCATTGATTTTCCGGCTAAATATATCGCATCCCTTCGGCTAGTTAGTTACCGCCTTTTTAATTGATTATACCGCCCATTTGTAATTACTTTTTATTGGTAGATATTTAACAGGCAGAATCTGGCACTTCACTTGCGGTTTTCTGCGTTTTAAAATATAACATATAGCCGTGCCAAGCGAAAACCAACAACCTTCCGGTTGTTGGTGCGCCCCACCAGATAGCCATTTTTCACCAGATAGCCATTTTTCCCTCTTTTATCAACTTCCCATACATTTTTCTACCATACCACGATGTCAATTTCACCTGAAAATATCGAAGATAGGATCCGGGAGGCCGTCCAAGCCTACTATGCAACTAAAAAACCCAACCTTACCAAGATAGCTAGGGTTTATAGGGTTTCCCGTAGACGGCTTAGGGGCCGTCTAGACGGCCGCCTATCTAGTTCCGACCGTGCCAAAAGAACCAAGGCATTAAATCCAATTTAAGAAAAGGCACTTGTTAATTGGGTCAAAGTCCTAGACATTGCGCATACCTCACCTACCCTAGAAATAGTAGAATATACCGCCAATTCGATCTTAAAAAAGGCGGGTAAAGATCGGACCGCTGTAGGCTATAACTAGGTATACCGTTTTATCAAAAGACTACCCCTAGATCTAAACTATATCACCTAAAAACCTAAAGAAAAAGTAAGGGTTAATAGTGAAGATTACGGTACTTTGCTTCTATGGTTTAATAGGCTTACTAAGCTTATAAACCGGTATTAATTCCTTCTAAATAAGATCTTTAATTAGGATGAAACCGGCTACCGAATTAGTAAAGGTAAGTAACGAAAGGTTATTACCTCTCGTTCTACTAGTGATATCGCTAGTAGAGGTCAATCGGAATCGATTACCGGCATTAAATACGTCTCCGTAGATAGCTAGTTAATATTACCTTAGTTTTTACCTAAGGATAATTCTTATATAGAGGAGTAGTATAAAAATATCACTACTACCGATTTCCGGATTAAACCTACCCCTAAAGGCTTTATCGACGATAAAACTACCTTTAAATAGCTTTTATCCTTCTACAAAGCTACTATTAATTTAGTAAAAAGGGGTAGGCTACGGCTTCTTTTAATAGACAATTATAGTTCTTACCTTACCTTCGAATTTATCGATTTTTATACCGAGTAAAACATTATTCTATTCTATTTTATACCTTATACAACCTATCTTTACTAACCGCTCGATAGCTAGGCATTCTAAAGCGTTAAATATTACTTCCGATCGATAAATAACGAGATCGTTATATAGGGTAGAAGTACTAGCCAAAAATAGGATTTTTTCCGGATTATCTAAGAGGTTAGGAATAAAGCTTTAACCTAAAGAACTATCCGATCTTCCTTTAGATATAGGGGAATCTAGCCCCTAGATCTAGAGGTAATTCTTAAACCCCTCCGGTAAGACTATATAGACCTTAAAGGGCCCCCCTTCGGTTTTTCACGTTATTACCCCCCCTAGATATCTCTAGTTCCGTTACTAACTCGCCGCTAGATATAATTAGGCGGGTTAATAAGCTTAATACTAAGCTTATTAAGGATCTAGAGCAAATCGAGTATATATCTAGGGACGTAAAAAGGTATATCTAACGAAGTATAGATATAAATACGCTTTTAACCTAAGAGCTAGATTTAGTAAAGGCTGCTTTAAAGAAGTCCTAGGCCTATAAATCAGCTGCAAACCGGCCTAAAAATAGGAAATCACTTCTTAGGTCGAAAGGTAATATACTATCACCTATCTATACAAATAGGATGATAGTAAAAAGATAGGACGTGGATGCTAAGAAGCTACAGCGGCTATAGGCAAAGTAGGCTAAGGCTTTGGAAGTGCAACAACGGGAGCAAGAAGCTAGGGATTTAGCTGAAACTAAGCATAAAGCTAAAATGGGAGCTATATATGGGAATGGTCTAACTTGGTATACTGATAGCCGTGGGAGTTATTTATAAATAGTATTTTAGTGCGTTGAGAAATTGAAATTTGGCTATCTGGTGAAAAATGGCTATCTGGTGGGGCGCACCAACACCAGGAACCTGGTGTTGGGCGCTTGGCACGGCTAACCCTAATTAATGATTTCAAATCAATTAAAATGATAAAATATTATCTTGAGATATAGGCTAGAAATGGGATTTAAACATAGGGTAATTCAAATAGACTCGTTTTTCGGAATGTTTTTGTGCCCAAAGGGGCCTTGTCGACCTCCAGGGCTTAGGTAAGCCTGCACAGTTCCCAAGGTTACGCAACCCACCCACACAGTTTGTTTTTTTCTTTTTTACGATGGCTGCAATACGATATTACGCATTATGAGAGCCTGATCCAAGAGGAACAGAATGTTTGACATTCAAATGGTGGCAAATGCGTTTCAACTTCTTCACTTGGTCTGGCCACTTGAGAAATGGATTTTGCCGCCTTATTCGCTTCTGCTCCACTCAAGGCTAACATGACAGGGCGCGAATGATGACCCCGAAGCAGAATATATGAACTCTCTCAAAGATACTCCTTATCAATCTGAATAATCGCATCCATCCCATCTCTCTCGAAGACATCGGTATCTAGAATCACAGTTGCGAGAAGAATTGCCGGCTCAGTCTTGCTCGCGTTATCGCTGATACGGTGATAACAACCAGGCGCTTCGTACCAAGTACCACCGGCGGTATACAACTCCACAGGATCGTTGTTCATCTTGTTATGCACTGTGCCACTGATAACGTACCCGGCAACGGAGGCGGTGCCGTGGCGATGGGGTGCAGCTGCGCCATTTGGCGGAAATGCAATACGCACGCCGATAACGGTCTTTCCGGGGCAGTTGGAGAGTTTGTATTGATATTCGATGGTGATCTCGGGCAGCGGGCGGCTGAGACTTGTCAGTGTTGGAACTTACCTTGGGAGTTGTGGTTCGTACCTGCGGTCGTAGGGATATTCAAGTTCCATTTTGAGACAAGGTCTTCAATTGTGGGTTATAGATAATGAGTGTAGTTTGGTTTTCGGGGCATATTGCCAGCTTTTATAGTATTACATGACAGATCATGCATGAACTGATAGATTACATACACCATGTGTAACAGCGCAAGACAAAGAACCGGAACAGACCCATCACTTTACAGGCTGCATGCAAATCATGCCGGAAATTTAGAAATTTTAAAATACGATACTTTCACATGATTATATATGTAGTTAGTCACATCGCGGTGCAAGGAGAGTGCTGAATGTAATTTCGTCACTTAAATTTGCAACTGGCTTGTTTTCAATGAGTTTGTCTGTGCCTTAGAAAAATACAGGAAAGAGCTTAACTAGTATTTTTCATCATAGGTCCGGAGTAGGCAGTCACGTGAGATTGGCGAATGGCGTCGTGAGTTGGTGAGTTCGAGAGACCCGCTCTGCGCGACAGAGCGGATCCTCCAAAATTCGACCAACCACGGTCGAGTATTGTATTCTACATAGTAAATTTCATCCAAAAATTGGGGTTAAAATGAAGTTCAGGATGCTATATTTCGCCCTTCGGGGCATGTCCCGAAAGCTTCCCAAGGTATGTGTTGCTCCAGAATTGACATAACGTGGATCATGATTATGCGCTAACTTTTTTTGTTTTGGTTTCATCCTTTCGACGTTCCATTTCGACGACTTAGGGTGAGGGGTTTTTAAGTGGGGTTTTAGTTTTTAGACGGGTGGGGTCGCAGGTTCGAGCCGATACTGGTACGAACTTTCTTTTTTCTTTTCTCATTGGCTCGACCCTGAGAAGAGGTTGCTATGTACATCCATTGGACCATGGATTCAATTTATTTCAGATGCTCTGCCTATGTATTCCTTACATGTATGCATGGTATATGATATATCCAAATGACGAGACGATCGATTGCATTTGCAGACCAGAAGACGTCATGCATGACGACGTATTTGAATATCAAAAATACTTGTATTGATCTTTATGACTAACAGAATATTATGTGCAAGGTGCTGCCCAGGTGCCCAGGTGACCAGGTCACCAGCTTAGATTGAGACTTGCTCCGTTCCAATCACAAAAGCGGCGAGAGGGTGAGTGCTCGAACAGAAGGGATGAACCCGCAGTTATAGGTTCTTTTAACTCGTCGAAAATGGTATGTAGTACACATGAAGAGAGTCATATGAAGGTGTAAGGCTGGAAGCTGATACTAACTAGTTAGCATGGTCCAACTAACTACAGTCTAGCTACCTAACTAGGTTAGGTGACCTCGTCAGGTGACAGAAGGAGACTATTTGTGCTACCTGGGGCACAAAGGACAGGGTGATTGACAGCCCATACTCTCAACAGTGAAGCAATCCTTGCACTCAACAGTGAAAGGACTGGATTCATGTCGAGCCTTGCCTTGGCTTGAAAATCAAATCTTTTGGATCTGGATGAACCGACCGAATGGTGCAATGCAAGCCAAGATTTTCGCAGTGCCTCGCACCTCAGTGGGTTGAGAACAACACTTCCAGGGGAAACACCATTGGTTCCTCGCAAGAAGCTTAAGCCACGACTGGAGGATGTGATCTCAAGGAATTCCAGAAATCTCCATGATGACTTCCTTCTTTTTCACACTGACAGGGTCACAAACACCTCGACCCTTGACCCTTGAGTCTGTCCAACAACACCAGCGGCAGCGTGGATCAGGATCTTATCACCAGCCCAATCCGAGCAATATGACCCAAGGAATATATCACCATTCCATTGATGAATGGCAGTCCTACGGAAATTTCGAAGCTGAGGCTTTCGGGTATCTGAATCCCCATATCCCAATGGATGCGACCGTTGGTGCAAGGTGCCCATTCTGCCTGGGGAAGGATCTCCTAGATACACCAACACAATAATACTCTATCTCCAAGGAGAAAACCGTTGACAGATGATCCAATCGTCCAAACGATGCCAGCTCAATGTGTCCAAACCAAGTTATCGAACCTACCGGGGATTCTGTCTGACCTCCACGGCCTTTGTCTTCTTGTTGGATACAAAATCGAGGTCGTCTTCTTTCGATGGCAGGTTGAGGATGGAGCGGAACCTTTTATAAATCGCCAGAGATGCGGTTATTGTTGTGTTAGATTTATTTGTCTCTATAACTTAACTTCTTCAACTCAACAATTTATCAAGCTCACATTGCACCATACACTTCGACGTCCACCACATAGAGCTCTCCTAACAGGTTATGAGCCCTTGGATGCTACATTCACTATCCTCATCGTCATCCTCAATACGGCCCCTCCATCGACGCCGCCATCACCATCGTCACCATCGACATCACCGGCCAGGCCACCCCCACAAGCACCTACCAAACGGGTTCTCATCCCACACGTGCCTCTCTCTTCGACGCACTATCCCCACAATCCGCTAACCACGCGGCCAGCCTCTCCATTCGACGTACATCTCCATCCGCCAACCACGCGCCGAATGCCTCTCTATTCGACGCACACCACCACAATAACAAGTGCCTCTCCTTCGACGCACCTCTCTATCCGTCGGCTAACGCGGTCACCACTCCCGCTACTACTACTACTACTACTACTACTACTACTACTACTACTACTACCAACAAGCCCACCACAGCCAATTCTCTTCTTGGCAACCCCCGTCGTACGCTTCAACAACCCTTTTGACAACTAGGGTTGCATCATGGGGGGTCATAACGAGTACATGGTTTCATGTTCGTGGGGGGGTGTCAAATTTATTAGTCTCTGTAACTTAACTTCTTCAACTCAACAATCTATCAAGCCCACATTGTACCATGCACTTCGACGTCCACCACGTAGACCTCTCCCAACATGTTGCCTATGGTCGAAACCATCGTGGGAAGTTTCTGGGAGGACAAAGTTCCGCTCGAGCAGTACCAGTCAGAGCTTTCCCCTGGGCAATGAGAGTTCGTCCCCCAACCCCAACGGTCCGGCTGTCGATGCTCTTGCTCGCGTCCGAAATATCATCCCTAAGATGGCAGAGCAGCGCGAGCAGCTTGGAATTTGCTTGCTCCCTCATGATATGCAGCAAAGCATCAACTCTCTGGTTGATAGTAAAGAGCTGTAGAAAGCCTTGGGCGAAAATTACACCGCCACTTACATTGATGCGACAAAGGAGTGGAACAAGCAACTCGATGGAATGGGCGAGAAAACGAAGCCGATGAAGCTATTGCAAATTCCCTAGACGTCAAGAGAAGATGGTGCTTAGGTATAGCTTACGGAATTATCTGTGATACTTGGATTTCAGCTTCACTTTGGACGCAATGAATTAAGTTGGCTTCCAGTCTTGAATATTTATAAACAATGTACATAATAAAAAGAGGTATTGGGGTTAATAAGAAGATTTGATGCGACGCCTACCTAGCGTACCCAAGAATATTTATACGGCATCAAAAGTCCTCGAGTCCAGTGGCGGGGAATAGCTGTCGCATTCTGCTCTATGCGCTCAGAATGTTTTAACGTCCTTTTGTTTGAGCACAATGAAAAGCGCAAGAATTAAAGAGATAAGTGAAGTGACTATAATTGTATAATAGTCAGTATGTTGCTAGCACATCCAATCTGGTTGAATAGAGCCCTGGAGTCCTTACCTGGTGACACATAATAACTTTTTTGTATGACAAGTCGCACCGGTTCTGCAAGTGCAGGAGGTACCAAGCCCGTGAGCTGCCGGTGTCCCAATATTTGTTCGATCAACTATTCGTTGTTAGATAAAATGACCTGATGGAGATGAGATAGAACAACTCGGCCTTACCTTGGCGCGCCCAGCCTGATCTTTCAGTGCCACATTCAGGCCACGTCTCATTTCCTTAATAAGTAATGCTTTTGCGGTGGTGATACCAGTCATCAATCCGACTTGCTGTGCGAAGTAATAAGTGGTGACGGAGGTAGCGGCATTATGCTCCGGTTTTGCGGCAGATAAAGCTGCGAATTGCGAAGATAGCAGCATTCCCATGCCGAACCATCCTGGGAACGAGTATAGTATCTCCCAAAAATGAGGTTCAAAGATGGTCCATCGGACAAGTATCAGAGTGAAGCTTGCGATCGTTATCACCAACCCAAAAATTGACCATCGAACACATTTGCGGGTTCTGAGGTCCCGCTTAATGTTAGCAAAAATGCCATATTGTGATGAGCTTGTTGGGTCTTATCTTGGAAAACTCACTTTTGAATTAGTTTGCCAGTCACCAATGAACCTGCTGCAAACCCGATGGTACCCGGTATCCAGCACATTGCACCCTCTGAGGGAGATAATCCCCGAGAGCTGACCCAATAGTCCCCAAGAATAGGCGCCATCTGCAATCCAATAGCACAATCATTAGCCACCCGCGAGTTGGAACCGAGAAGACAGAAAGGGGAAAACACACAGAAAATTGTCCAATGCCGACTAGCGCTTGCGCGCTGTATATCAGGCCGAATTTATGGGGACTCAGTAATGAGAAATGTATCATTGGGTCTTTAGCCCAGCGAGTCTCATTGAGACAGAAGGCCGTAAAGCATCCAACGAATGCTGCCGCACAAATGGTGAGAAGTATTGACTTTGCTTCTAGATTATCTGCCTGGGTGAGTTGCACAAAGGCTAGGAAGCAGATAACAGATATAAATAGCAAAACGAGGCCCAGAATATCGAACGACTTGCGAGGGGTATCTTCGGTCGGCTTGTTGTCAATTGATCCATACGATAGCTTGGGGGTGACAATTGGCGAGGGCTTTTTTGAAGAAAGCGAAAACGAGATGACGGTGAGGCAGATCATTGCAAATGGGATATGAATCAGGAATGCCCTGACATCAGGAAAACATTATTAGTTATTCAGTATACCGAGTAGAAGGAGTCTGCAGGTACTCACCATTGCCATCCAATCCAGCTTGTGAGAAATGCGCCCAGGGGGGCGCCGCAGGTAACACCAATAATTGACACGGTAGTTACATAGGAGCGTAACATGGCAACACGGTCAAAGCTATGTACTTCTGTCGATTTGATGGACAGCATTAGCAAATGTCACGAAAGGTAAAAAGAGAGTGAAGCAAGACATACCGTTGAGAATAACAGACACCAGCTCATTCATTCCGGCTCCGCCAAACCCTGAAATGATACGACCGGCAACAGCCAAGTGAATGGTTTGCGAGACTCCTCTGTGAAATTGTTAAATAACGTACGCATTCCGTGTGTGATCAGAGAAACCTACGTCATGAGACAGCCACATCCGTATACCGTCAAAGCCATAAGGATTGCCCTCGTCGGTCCAGTTAAATCGCATATTTGCCCGTACTGCAATGCACGGTGAGCTATTGTTTTAAAGGCTGACGCTCGGAACTTACAATGGGAAGAGCAAGAATATAGCCCAGGTTGTACCCTGTGATGAGCCACGCTGCAGAGCTGGATGCATTGAGAGCCGATGCGACATCACTTCCAGTGGTGAGGACAAAGGATTCGTCTGCATTTGCTAGAAAGCAAGCTATACAACTCGAATTAGCTTTCGATCTTTGGCCATCCTTGGGTAGAAAGCAGAAACTTACCCAGTAAAAGCGATCCGACGGCAAGTTTCCCTACCTGGAGACCACTCGACTTCTGATTCAGGTGTTCTTCATCTTGTGAACTTGCAACAAGTGGCGTGCGATCTTGAGTAGTCATTTGGAGAACTGGATACCGCTCACAAACAGTCTGCCGTGTTGGAATTCTTCCTGCGGCAAAGGTAGCCAACGGCAGAGACGTAGTTAAAAGTCTTTGGCCACAACGAGAGGGGGCAAAAAACAAGGGGGGAAAAAAAAGAAATCAACTCAAAACATGATAGAACTGATGAGGTGTCTGAGCCCTTTCAATGACAGCAAGAATGCGGAGCACGGCATCTTATGGGGTTAAGTGGCAAAAATTACAGAGCGAGAGAGTTCGTAGGAGATCTCCCGCTTTTAGCGATTTCAGCTGTGCATGATCCACTTAGTGAGACAAGGCTTTCCACCTAGGCATCCCTTGCCGATCTTTCACCTTTTGTTATCGAAGCGATCGTCTTTGAATTTGAGAATCTCCATTATCCAATAGAATCTATACAGGATCCCCCGCAGTAGGAAATTTCAGATGTTGTGCTAGGGGTGGATCGGATGAGTTTTTGATTATGGTGGGCAGTACGAAGTACAACAACCAATAAGATAACATACGTTCGAACAAAGGGAAAAAGCAAAAAACCCAATAATTGGGAAATCTCAGCTGCAGCTTGATTACCCGGACTTTTGAGGGACTTCACGATTGGTGCAAGGTTTGTCAACTCCATACTTATTGTGTTGAAATTTCTGACCAAGTCCAACACAATGTGTGGCTGCCGACTGGTTAGGTAGTTAACTAGATGTGTACACATGTTAGCTCCCCTGAGCTCACTTCTGCCCCACTAATTCTACCCTCACACGCTCTGCTTCCACTAACTCTTCCACTATCAATCCTACACCTACCAAAAGTAGCCGCTTTAGTACGGAGTACGGCAAAGCCGGGTTATATATAGAGTTGACAGGGGTTAGGATATACGCCAAGTCAGGGTACTCCACTTTAAATTGGTTTCGGTAACCCCCGAGTTTGGACAGGTTACCGTGGCCACTTGAATTCCGTATGAAGGTATTCAGCTTTTTAGTCCAAAGCTACTACACCTAATCCTACAATATATCTTATATTTATTTATATATCATAGTGTCATGAATTGTATCTAGTTTATCTCTTTACTATAGTATATTTTAATATACATAGTAGCTTAAGTAGTAATTGTAGGTTTATTTATGATTTTTAAAACCCCAGAATATAAATCGTGAAATATATGTTTGCATATACTGTTCATATAAACAATATAAACTTTCTATACACAATTAAAGCTCCTTCTCTATTTGTCAAGTCGCTCCTTCCATATTAACCTAAATTACGATCTACTCACATGATTACCGTACTTATTTACATTTTGTTTACATTTTGTTTACATATCTAAATTGTTAAGCCCAACAAAGAGATTGTATTATAGGACCGGGAACGTCAATCAAACTAACAAGATAAAATAAACTAGTTAACTAACTAGTTATAACTAGTTAACAATAATAATTGTTACAAAGTGGCCACGGTAAACCTGTCCAAACTACAATAGTTAGCTGACGGGGTTACCGAGACCAATATCGAGTGGGGTACCCTGGCTTGGCGTACATCCCTCCGTCAACTAGATGCCCCGGCAAACATAATATCTCAGCTCGACGTAATTGACACGCAAAGTAAGAATCTCAGATTCATAGAATCCTCTCCATGAATTTGAATAGGGAGTGATATCAGAATGGATAGTCTGTTCGGTAATAACTGAATTTTCCATTTTCCATAAAAGACGGTGATTGCAGCTAAAATCGTTGAAGGCAACAGTACAACTTAAACGAGAGACAAAAAACAACCAAGTCGAGGTGTCACTGGATCCCCCACTATAATCATACATGTTGTATGTAACCACCCTGCAACCGTACATTCATAATTCTTCAGTTCCCGGAAACCCCACAATACCAACTCTTACAACATCCTGCATAAGAGGCTATAGATCTTTCCATGAATCGCGACCAGAGCTTTCCGTTGCTGCCTCATCTAAAGGGAAATTCGGTGTCAGCAAATGTATAGAGCCATGACCAAAGGTGAACATGCTTACGTCCAACAAGCTTTTCTAATTCAAAATAAATGGAATCGGAAGGCTCCTCGGTCAGCTCCAGGTAGAGGTCAGGTGTGCGTGACACGTAGAGGTTCGAAACCATGTCTTTGAAGGTGAAAATAGGACGATCAGAGACCCTAGTAACCACATAGGGATGCTTTGTTCCTTCAAGATCCAGCTTGCATTTGCTGCCCTCCTCACATATCAGGGTCTTATCGGAGTCCAGAGGCGTGATAACAGCTTCATCATCATTGAAACCCTCAGTATCAAACTTCCAGCCCCTCGTTCCAGGGATCTTTTGGTCGCCGAATCTCACGGAGGTTGCATCGTCAACATCATGCAGCACGTAAAGAGACTCGCCTCCGACATCTTGCTTAAGCATATCGCGGAATACAAGACCATGTGCCGGCTGGCAAAGGGCAGTCAGGAATCCGAGCAAAAGATACGATTGCACCATGATGTTTGATTAAGTGATGAATAGGTAGAAAAACTAGAGGGAAATGGAGGGTATTTAATGCCCAACTAACTACCGTTCCAAAGAACTTTTTGAATAATTATTATAGATCGAATGCAAAATGCTGCAGTGAAACATCGTCATAGACAAGAATCCCTACAACATAAGTGTTCACTAGTAAAATACGCAAGGGATAGTGGAGCAGTACGGTGAGGGCCGAGCTCATCTTACGCCCAATAATGTGTTTCCTGGATATCCGTACTGAGGGTAAATTCCATGTACCCTTCAGCTGAACAAAAACAAGCCAGTTCTGATAATCCTTCCTATTACGTACACCGCTACTTAGTGGAGCTGAAGCACTACGGTATGTTCCTGGCAATCGTCTTCCCAGCCCCATCTTCACGGGATGGGTCCGTAGCTCTCGGAACGGACGTCCTAATGTGCATGATAGTTTAGATCTCCGTTTTATATACCCGTGTACGGAGTACGGAGGAGTTCATTTTGCCAGAATCGCCGATCTCCGAATAAGGGAAAGAGCGATCGGAGGCGTGTACGATCCACTCCATGGCAGAGGTCGATCATCACCAAATCAAGAGCTAAACTCCTCTCCGTGCCTTCCGGTGCTTTCTTACGCCTTTTGAAGCAGCTAATTCTCCTGAGCAAAGTTGTTCACGGCGGCTATCAGGCATGTATGTCATCATGGATCTCGATAATCCCTCCCTGTTGCACAAATCGGCGATGGGTTTTCTCATTGTAGTATTGATACATTGAATTGCGGATGAGACTTTCACGTTACCCAGCGATGTTCATGTGCCGAAGTGGATATGACCCAAGTGATTCGCCCTTCAGTCTGACCTGGTAACTAGTGAAAGGTTGATGGGTATAGGTTGGTAGAACTCAGGCAAGGTAAACACGCCTTTGATTGTATCTACAAGTCCTGAGTATTTTGGCCATGGCCACGGAAAATGGCACGCCCCGGCAGGATTTTCTTTGTGAACGAGCTGAAGGTAATTATTTGTCATCTCTTGATGAGGTAGGTATGAATTCCAAATCACACAGCCCTATGACAAACACCCTGGACTCCACCGTTACAATCTCAGGCGGAAATTACCCTTCGACACCGGAACTCTTCTTCTTGTAAAGTGGCTCTTTGCAAAAGCTATGACTACATACTATATACTCTGAATAAAAGGGAAGTTCTCCATCTCGCTACATTGGCGATTTGTGCCTAGCAGAGAGGGCAGTAGGTGACTTTTGGACCTTCCGGTTTCTTTCTCAGAACGACCCAAGGTCACTATAAATATTATATTTTTGATGATCATATATATATGTACTGAACAGTTAGGCGAAGATTCTTCATGTCGCCACCGTCATTGTATACGACACACCTAGACGCCTATCACGCAATTGAAGGACATCTAACAGCAGATAGTAGGCAAAGATCTGTATGCATTTATGATATTGGCTACATATAGTAGCTAAACATAGAGACGAAGAAGGAAAGAAAAGACATGGCGCGAGAGAGCTACCTAAAGAGTGAGTGGGCAGTTCTGGCTTGACGCAAACCGCCGACAAAATCATCTCATTCAATTCTAGGGAGCCCTTACGCAATGGCCGAGCATGAAAAGGGTCGGCTGGAAGTGGGGTCTCTGGATTCTTCGATCTATTGACAGCGATTAGCAGAGAACGAAAGCTTTCAATTACACAAGCTCTGTTACCACTCACCAAAATCACAATATTGGCATACATTCCGCACACAAGAACACCGATGCCGAACAAAAAGACCATCCCATTATAGAACGCTCGCTGGATGTTGGACCGGCTGAACCAGTTTCCTTCTTTGACAAGGACAAACCACATTACTGACGGCACGTAAAAGCACAGTCCTGACACGAACAAGGCCGCACTGATTGATAATATAGTCGAAAATACCGGAATGGCCTGAGCAACTACCCACGAAACAAATGTGAGGACTGTCACGATCAAGATCCAGGTTATCCAACCCTTCTTCGTGTTCACATATCGTACAACGGAGTCACGATAAACGTATCCATGAATATAGCGAGCAACAAGGCTGGTGTTTATCGACCCGGATATAAAGACCACCGGGAGGGCAACACCAAAAGCGATTCTCGACATGAGGGGTCCCGCTGAGAGTAGGGCAGGGGATTGGACATCTTTACCCACAAACAAATACACAAGAGAACCGATCAGGGTATAAATAACAATTTCAATCACTCCCAGGAGGTATATCGCTTTGGTATAGTCCTTCGGGGTGTGCATCTCGCTCATAAATGATGGTATGGCGGGAGCAAACGAATAGGCGAAAACGATATTATTCATTGCAACCATCGCCGTTGAGAAGCTGACATTCTCCTTAGGCCAAACTGACCAATCGGAGCCAGGTGAACCGTTGTTATCTCGAGTGCTTTGTACACCTGTTGCGATAACTGTAATGCCGATAGCTGTGAAGATCGAGGCAACATCAATATACCCAAGTATAGCAATATCGGCGAATGTCGGTGGGATGGCAAGTATAAGAAGAATCAAAGCCGAGACTAATCCGAATACCACAGTGCAAACATTACTTTGCGTGACACTAGCCAAGGCAATAATCCCAGTCAAACAATGCGATCCCACGCTAAGTAGTAGTTGCAAGATAAAAACCACCGTGACAATCCAGAATCCCTTTTCTCCCAGCATAAGTCTCCCTATGTCTCCATAGTGTTCAACTTCCGGATATTTGAGCTTCACTGCGCCGACCTCATAGCTGGCGTATGTAGCGATAAGCCCGATCCCAACAGAAGATATAACGCCTCCAAGCATACCGAGGGTCGCGAAAGATGCCGGAATACTGAGACTCCCAAGGGCAACTGCTTCCGTAATGAGGATAACGGCGAGACGTTTCCAACCAAGGCGCGAAAATCTTTTGCGACCTTCAATTTCCTTGCGTCTTTCCAACTCCAGCTGGCAGAGATCTGATGAGGGGTCGCTGTTTATGGTGGATTTTGACAGTTGGACCGCGGCGCCGCTTTCTTTTTGCCCAACGTGCCAAGTTCATATTTGGGGAGGCGGCAGTTTTGTTCAATGTCAGTTTCCATGATAGACTAATTTTAACGTCAGGTAGGTTCGGATGAATAGTCTATATTTATGACCCTATGAAGATTTTCAGTGTACTTTGCTGAACGTGCGCATGATGCAGGCGTCGTGTATGTGCATTTTGCCATGTTTTATCGAGGGTAAGATGATACAGAAGCACACTGAAGTGGGCATATCTGAAAATAGTCATCTGCGTGTTTCGAGTCGATCTATACGGCGTGACGGATGATCCCGGTAACGATCCCAGTTAAGTCACCAACCGAAGACCCTCCCCCGGTCTCCAGTGTTGGGGTTCAGCCAGCCACGTGGTACACGTGCATAATGCACTCATGCATGTGAGAGTGTGTACAGTACTGGAATACACGTAACGTACTTCACAATAGGAAACGCGATAAATTACAACTTGATACCTCAACAACGGTGGTCTATTTGACGATGGAATCAAATAACGGTGTGTTTGTTGAGGTCTCAAGTTGTAATTCATCGCATTTACTATGTGCTTTGGACTCCGCCGCTCGCATGTGAAATACGTTACGTAGCGGTGAAGCATGAATCTACAGGTCATACGCTACGCTCAGATTCACCTAAAAGGCCTACAATATTGTAGAGCTACGCTAGAATTTCCATGGCTTGCATGCGATCACCGGTGATCTTCATCGGGCTTGGTATGGTTGCGTTGCATTGGCGAGAAACAACCCTACCTCAACATGAGATCGATTTTGGTTGCATCCCGGTGTGGAAAAGTATGTCATTGAGAGATAACCAAGATCTATAGGCAGTTTTGCTATTGGCTACAGATAATAACCAAATATAGATACGGAGAAGGGAAGAGGGAGAGGGTAAGTGAGCCATCTAAAAAGAAGGCAAGACATACCGCCGATAGATATCATCTCACTTTCGTCGTTAAACAGTAGCGTTATTTTGGTACTAACCCCGAGAACAAGGGTAAGATCTCAATAACCACCTAGAATATGAAGAATAGAAAGAGTAGTTTAGAGATTTTGGGCATGAATGTACCGGGACGATCAAGTATCTCTCTCAGAAGAGCGAATCCACCACTTAATGCAGAAAGTCCAAAAGTTGCCGTGGATACTCAATACTGTTTAGTATATAGTTCGTTTTATCTCGAGCAGAAAGGTGGTTGCTCAGGCGTGGGGCTCAGGGTAAAAAAAAAGGATTGTCATTGAACCGCGGAAACCGCGGCTATGGGGTATATCAGAGTGTATTTTTATCTATATATATACTAGCGACGTATAGGCCCCCAATGAGGATTGATAACAACATAAATAAAGGCGCCGGGAAAATTCCTATCGTGAGGCTATACGTAGCATTGAGAAGCGCTGGGATCACAATTCGAGCAATTGCATGAAAAAAGCTCAAAACACCTAACAATTGCCCTGATTGATGGTCAGGCACATGTGCTGTGAGACATGATGTCAACAGAGGGTTGATGGATAGAGTAGATGCAACAAGCAAAGACGATACGACGAAATGAGTAGGCGCCCGTGAGAGCGCGATGCCCATATATCCTATCATCTGTAAGACTAGATTCACCTGGATAGCATCCAACTCTCCAGAAGTGGATGCAGCCGACAGATTTGGCACACCCTGTCTCCTATTCCATCGGCGGAACCGCGTCATAATCGGCGGAAATAGAACGACCAGCACCAAAACGCTCCATGAGTAGGAAAGGGATATGAAGAAGCTTTGCGTTGTCGGTTGCCACTTGAACAAGAATGCCGGGTATGCTAATTGCAGCGGAAGCAGACCTATCATGTTTCCGAAAATGATCATGTCTATCCCAGCCAGAATGATCATATTCTTATTTCGAAACCCTTTCGATTCCCATATAGACTTGAGCGGCGTCAGAAGCACACGGACATAACTTTCGCCAGGGGGTTGGTCCAAGGTTACTCCGGTAGAGACTGTTTTGCGCGATTCCGGCAAGGCGAATAGGATGATAAGCAAGAGGGATAAATGAGAGCATATAGCAAGCAAAAAGATCGATTGAAATGGATTCGGCATCTTTAGAAGCAAGCTGGAAATGAGAGGCCCAACCGCCCCAGCAAAGGCATATGAAGCCTGCAAGTAACTGAACCACCGCGCCCGGGAGCTGGGTTGCGTGAGATCGGTGATGTAGGTCTGTGAGGTCGAAGTCCCGGCAATCATCGTCCCGCTAAGGCCTTCCATTGCATATCCCAGGAGAAGCCAGTGCACATCTATCGAGTCCGGGTGACGGAGGACTATTACCATAAGGATTTCGTATATAAGAGGACCGGCAACGGTACAGGCGAGGATTGGCTTACGACCAACGCGATCCGATAGTGAACCCAGGATTGGGGTCGAAAAAGCACCGAGGAGACCCGCTATTATTTGGCGATACATGAGAAATCGGGAAAGGTCAGATTGCGTGTCTGTATTGGCGAAACATTGTTCTAGTTCTGGGTGGGTCTGGCTGGGTGATTGACGCTGGCGACAGATCAAGGCAAAAGTTGCATTGAACTCGGGGACCGCCAAAACTCCGAAGATAAACTCGTAGATTGCGAAAACGCAGATGACCCAGGAGGGTGAAGGTTGCCAAAGGCGGGTCCAGTAATTGTTTAAAGTGCGGCTCTTCTCGTTTCCTTGCGCACGAGGCTCGGAGAAACACTGTTCGATGAGAAGTGGATAGTTTTCGGCATCTGATCGGCTTTGGTCGTTCATGTTGTGAAGAGTTGGGGTAGACTGAGTATTTGAAAATAAACACAGCGAGCCCTGGAGGGAAGAGGAGTTTATAAATGTAGTACTTCGAATGGAAGGAAGCGCGATCATGCAGTACTCTTTAGGTCCGGAGACCTGATCACTAGTCATGAAATTTTAACGGCATGTGAAGTTCCAGTGTCATGTTCTATTTCTATTTAAGCATTCTTGTTTTTTATTTTATTCCAATGCATCATGTATAGACTGTGTATCCCGCAGGGTACATTACCTACAACATATATATCCCCGATGGTATCCCAGATGGTACCCACTCGCTTCCAACGTTGGGAGCGGGCCGTTTCATGTTTCATCGGGAACGCTAACTTTGTTTGCCGACTGTTATAGATCCTGAGATATACCTACTTAGGTACCTATAATTAGGTAGATATGTGCTTAGATACCTGCCTCTACTTAGGTATGTGTACACCTCACTAATGAATTCTTGTACTTTGACCGAGTGATAAAACTATCCTGGCTTCTGCTACTAATTTCATCAACCGTTAGTCTCCATTCAGCTATGCATTTAGAAGTGGAGTTTAGAAGTGGAGGGTCTACACCGCTCCGACACGGGGTTGTCTCTCTCAACCTTGCTATGGTGGCTGGCTATGTTAGACCCAACCTTGGAGAGTCAAACCTACTCTCGCACCTGATCCCAATCCTTACTATTTTCTAGAGAAATTAATCCTGAGGCTCGTATTCATAAATTCTTAGTAGGTGAAATATTCAAAGATATGTCTACGTAGGTATCTATAGCTCGGGAGAGTATCCGCAAGTAGGATATCTATGAGATCAAACATACCACCAATTTATACCGAGCAAACAATCTCACAGTCATCAATTCAGGCACTAGCTCCTCTCGATCTATGGTCATCAACAAATAGACCATACGTGCAGGCCCTGGAGGTTCATGAGCACCTATCACCACGCGATCCTTCAGCCAAGCCACTCTTGATAAGCACCAATCATTTTGCTCGAGAGACCAAAGTTGTTCTGGCCTTCCCTCGTCATATTCTTTTTTTGCTTTTTGCCCTACGCCCTGTTCCATTTCTTTTTCCATCCAATCTCCACTGCGCTGTAATTAACAGGTGGAACCTTTCTTCTGTCTCAGGCGCACACCTCAAACCGCGACGCAAATTTCGCAACTGATCTTATACGCCATGAGTGGAGACTACAACGTTTAAGCGAGAATATGATGAGTGGAGTATTTGGGTGCATGGACTTTCTTTGATCAAGAGCACATGGGTTTGCCGTGACAGTTAACCGAAAAGATTTAATAAGCCCGAAAGATACGCATATCATTGACAGTGCTCTGAAATTCGCGGATGGTCCATTCGCTAACTACTCATACTAGCTTTGGAAAGGGGGCGGGGGTAGGAATGAATAAATCAACAGACTACATAGGTACAGCATATGAGACACTTGTAGTGGCATACATGTTGAAATCGCCCAAATTCAACCCCCCTTGTTCTGTCACAAGGTTTCAGGTAGAGCCTCAGGGCACCATGTCTTTCCCACTTCGGGATGGCTCGTGAGAGCATTGATCATGAGGGTCTCTCCAATCACAGTTTTAGGGAGACATTCGGAGAATGTTTCAGCATCTGACTGGAATTTTTGATCACGCAGGACGTATTAGATATATTACATGGTTCAAGCGGGGTTCGTTATACGATTAGTCCCCCTCCCCCTACCTTAGCACACCATTTTCCTATACATATGTAGTCTGTGGTTCCACTAGGTCCAACCTATTTCAAAGAAAAATTAGTCTTAGCATATAGAGACAAGACATTGATTCTTCTACCCCGTTATAGGCCATGCACCTGGAAACAGTATGTCTGTACGTATGCCCTTCCTCAATGTGTCAAACAATCACAAAGTCCAAAGTTCCTCTATAGAAGACAAAGATTTAAACAGTAAGCGAAAAGCATGCCTTCCATTCAAACCACCCGTTCAAACCGTCTGAGACTTTCCAGTAAGTTTGGCATCATCCAACATTTTTGCTTTATGCTGCTGCTCAAGCATCTTAGCGAACATTTCAGGATAGCTAGAAGTGCATGGTGCAATGTGAGGTTGATTGTTGAAGAAGTTGAGTTACAGAGACTAATAAATCTGAGATGGAAGTAAAACCGTTTGTAGAGTCGAGTTGCCTCCAGTCGTTCGTTCTTTTTATCACCGTGTAATGTTCGCCTTTTGTGGCACATAAAAACCAAAATCGAACTTCCGTATGCTCACATCCGAAATCAACAATTATATACACCATCAGTGAAGCATCATTCAGATATCTGGATGGCACACTCTATGATAACTTGTTGCTGTCCGGAAGAGCCCTCGGGCTTCCAAAATTTGTTGACCTTCAACCCAGCCTGCTTCAATAGTGTCTCCCATTCATTCTTGGTTCGTTCTAGCGACGAGAAAGCAGTCATCATCGTCATATCACCAATCGCAGCCATCCATGGAATATTAGTCTCCGGCATGGCCTTCTCATGAATCAGTAGCGAAGAATGGGGAGCCATTGCTTCACGAAGCCTCGATAGGATCATCACAGCCTGCTTGTCTGGCCAGTCATGGAGAACAGTGCGGAGGTAGTATGCCTTTGCGCCTTTGATGGGCTGTTCATCAAAGAAATTATGAACCTGTGTCTCGATTCCACCGGGAATACCTGTTGTCCCACAAACATGGCTTAAATCCTGGAGAACAAGCCTTCCAGGCAAATCGGGGAACCTCTCGCTGAAGATCTGGAGGTCCTTCCCCCGACCACCTCCGACATCCACCAGAAGCACGTCGGAGGGGCTCTCCACTTGTAGCTTCTCCTCAACGGGGAAGAAATCCAGCCAACTTGTCTCGTCGCGACGGTAGGGCGAGGCCATGACTGTGTCGAAGGCGTCTTGGTAATAAGGTTTCGATGCCATGTAATTAAAGTATCCAGACTTGGACCCGGATGCAAAATTCCATGGTGAGTCGTCAATATCATCTGGTGTTTTCCATCCTTTCGCCTTGAAATATTCGGGGAGTTGAGAGACGAAAAGAAACAAGTGAGTGCTAGATGTGTTAGTTGTATGTTGAGCCTTGAGACAGGGAGAGAAGAGTATTTACAAGAATATCACTGCTGCGGACATCCAAGACGTCGAAATATAGGCCGTAGTGAATCGCGTGGATGAGAACGTATCGGAGGTATGTTGCTTGAGAATATCCAATGGCACAAGCGACCTCATGATCCTTCCTATTGCGTATTAAAATTAGACAGCAATTCAAGTGGAGGATAGGGATAGATATTTACCAACTAGCTTCGGATCTGCTTTCACATCTTCGGAAAGTTGGCCCACGCGCACTTTCCCATCTTCATCTTCAGAAGCGCGCTTGACGATTGCATCGAAGAGCTTCAGATCCACAGCGAGACGGACTGCGATCGCTTGGTGGCACTTGAAAAACATTAGCCGAGCCCATGTCCGAGGAATCAATGTCTGGGGTAGGGGTTAAAAATTACAGTATACAGAAGCCTGAGTGTCTTATCTAGAGGAGATTCACATTGACTCCTCAGTCGATCACAGGCCTCATACAGTTGAGCTTGCTGCTGGGGGTCCAAGCTTTCGAGGTTGCCAGAAGAAGTGGCCAATTGAATCGACTCAATAAGTTGAGAAACGTCCATTATCAAGGTTTCAAGGTCAAGTGTCGACAATTTTTGTGAGTCTGAAGAGGCACCCTGATGTGGCCTTATTAATTAAGGCAAATGAACGGGAAATTGGAGGCGAAGGTCAGAGAATAATGGACCAAGTCAAGTATTATCCAATTTTTTAATGTATGCCCAATCCTTCGGAAGACAGCGAACATATGCAATTAAACGCCATAGGACCTGGGTATTTCAGAACTGCGATAACCGGACTAAGACTACCTAGGTAGGAAAGAGTGGAATTGGAGTCATGTACGGAGTACGGAGTACGGCGTCTGCATACCTGCAAAATTGCGATAGATCAAATGAGGTTTCCACATACTGGCCTCTTTTAGGTGCGATCTTCACATGTCGCATGTGGGGTGGTTAGCTGAGGTTGAGATAGATCGATCTAAGCTACATTATGGGGCGCCAAGGGGCCAGTTGGGCCACCCGTCTTAAGTGCCGCCACTTCTATATTGCATAGTATTTAATACTAGTCAATACAAAAGTTTCACCTCTTAGGAGTTTACTTTCCAAATGTTGGTACAGCATACACTTCAGAGCTAGCTTTAAAACGGCGGGGTCAAAATATAGGCTGCAATGCTGAATGCGGAAACCTTGGAAGCTGCAGGGTTGCAGCTGTACATTGTAGGAGTATTTGTGGAATTTTAAAATGAAAACGTTGGATGTTTAGCGTATTATAACTAGAGCCGTAACATATACAAGTTTACCGTAAAGATGTACATAATGTCAATCACTAGTTAACTATTTATTGCCTAACTATTACACTTATTTTAAGGGAATAAAAAATATATTCTACCCTCTGCATATAACTTTAAATTAGTAATTTTGACGTTTTATTTCATTCGAATACTTGGTTTTTCTTACTAAAGAACTTCCGAATTGGTGTATGTGGTATATGCAATACACCGCGCTAGCAATGATTAGCGTAGACTTGGCAGTTCCACCTGTCGCCTTTCGAGTAGGACTGGTTGCCTGGGTCCTGTTATTTCACTCAAATATCTTACTTCATTGCTCCCTCCCAAGGTAAACATTCAAATAACACCACATTGCTAGGGATTGCTTTGAAATGTCCATTCATCTAGAGGACCCAATTTCGAAACTTCGAGATATCGAAATCAGGTCACCTTATATCGTTTATGGTGTTATTATCCTTACCTTATGGTACTGGTGGAAATCCACAGAGCTTAAGAACCCCTCTGGGCTGCCAGTTATTGGCCGGAGGTGGTATGAGATAGGCAATGGCAAAGCTAGACAGCGAATCCGGGATGATTGCCTCGGCATTGTCAGGTCCTGCTTGAAGAAGGTCTGTCATGTTCCAATTCTGGTATATTAGGTTTTTATTTTCTAATTTTTGCTTACCCCCGAGCAGTATGGAGATGCTTTCTATCTCTATACCGATTCTAGATATCGCCTAATCCTCTCTGGCAAATACGTTGAGATGCTCCGGAATGAAAAGCGTCTGGATTTCATCACAGCGCTTGAGGATGTAAGGAAAATGTCCAAATATCATTTTGGAGAAATCAAAAGCTGACATGAAAACAGAAACTTGTCAATGGCGTGCATGGTTTTGAGCCAATGGAATCAATGACAAGCGATAAGAAGATTTTACATGCCGTTACAAAGCATTCACTTAATCGCCATTTGGGTTAGACTTTCCCCCATCTCATCTACCTTTACTTGTCATGTCTTGACTTTTTCAAGGCAAAAGAACCAAGCTGACTTTAGAAAAGGCACTTTTACCGAGCCGCTTAATGAAGAATCTGACTATGCCCTTGATCAGGTTTGGACTGATAAGCCAGGTACGACCCCATGACCCAAGACATTGAATTTGTGTCTGAAATTGAAGCTGATAAATCGATCAGAATTCCACGAGGTTATGTTGAAAGACTCCGTCTGGAAGATGTTTGGACACATAATGTCTAGGACATTTATCAATGACAAGGACTTCTATCGGAATCCCGAGTGGATAAATGCGAGCTCGGAGTACGTCGCATTGTCAGCCTTGGCGGGATATGAACTTCGAGCTTTCCCAAAATGGGCAAAGCGCTGGGTCGCACCTTTCCTTCCCAATTGTAGGAAGCTTCAGGCCCTTTTCCAGCATATCAATACCCTCCTGGAGCCTTTGAAGAAAAAGTTAGATGCACAGTCATTGGACACCGATTCCAAAAACCCGCTAAGTTTCTTACATCAAAAGATGGAAGGTCGATCAGATGAGCTTGCGTCCATGTTAATTGCTCTCTGCTTAGTGTCATATGACGGAGGCGGCGAACTTTTCACTCATGTCCTTCACTCGGTTTTTACAAACGATCAGCTTGTAAATGATCTCCGTTCTGAGATTGTGAACGTGGTTGGGAATGAGGGCTTCAACAAGAATACCTTACAAGGTTTAGTGCTCATGGACAGCGTCCTGAAAGAGACCATGCGTATGCATCCCGAGTCTGTTCGTAAGTCTCACCCACATATATACTCCAGAAGGCCTTCCTTAACCTTTGATATCAGTTTTGATGCAACGAATCGCCTTGGAGAAGGTCGTCCTACCCGACGGACTCATTATTCCGAAAGGAACCCCGCTTATGGTATCTGCTTGCCACGTCATTGATGGATCGATCTGGCCCGATGGCGATCAATTTGATGGTTACCGGTTTTTCAATCTGCGCCGAAAGGCAGATTCTTCTGCAAACCAGGCAGCATACAACTTTACGTCAACGTCTCCAGACCATTTCAGTTTTGGCCACGGATCTCAAGCCTGTCCCGGGAGGTTTTTCGCATCTTATATGCAAAAGATACTTCTCTGCAATGTGCTTATGAAGTATGACGTTTCGGTCATTATTCCTGACGAAGGCGCATGGTTTCAACGTGGGTACACTCATGTCGCTCATCCGGGCCTGAAGGCCCGTGTCAGACGGCGGACGGAGGAGATCGAACTCTAAGGGAAAGTTGTGGAAAGGGCCATGTAGCCCCTTCAATTCGCCAGTACTCTCTTGATGGATTTCATCGTCTAGGGTTGATTCAATCTGGCAAATATGTAATATTTCTTTTTCTTTTTTTTTAAAAAATGTTTCCTTGCATGTCCGGTTTTCAGAAAATATTATATCATGTATTGACATAGTATTAAGCCCTTTGCTTCATGGAATCAGCTACTTTTTGGGGGTCCATCAATTCAATTGGACATGCGGATACCTTCTGAGGATCCTTGTTCTGAACTCGAAGGTTTCCTAATTGATTCCTCCTATGGCAGGTCTTCCCTCATTCAATAGCTTCACCGATCCTTGAATATAATCACGTTGACTTTCTTCACCAACCATATACAACCACGATTTTCCATAAATTGAGTGTAGTAACCTATGAATGATGGTTGAGTAACTTCATTGAACTCCGTCGGTCCAGATGCCAATATCGGGCGGGAAGAGAGGTTGAAGCTCAGATGGGATGTGTATTGGGTAAGCTCCTGCTGAGCTATGTAAATGAAGCTATATGAGTGCACCCACAGCCCGCCAGATACTAAACGCCTCAAACCTCTGCAGAGCCCTTGGGCCTCCCTTGTAGTTCGGCTTCAATGATGCCTTTGTGATACCCATGAGGTAGCCAGAAGTTTGTGATTGTCAATCCAACTGACTCCAAAAGCTCTATCCATCTCCGACGAGTCCGTTCAATTCCTGGACACCATACCATGACAATCATATCAGTCATCGCCTCCTTTGCACCGGCATTAGTGTCCGGAACAATGTAATCCTCAATCAAAATCTTTGAGAACCCCTTCTCCATGGCAGCGGTGGTGTGTTTCAAAATCACCCTGCAGTTATCATCGGACCAATCGTGCATGATATGCTTGAAGTAGTATGCGCGGGCACCTGTAGCCTGTGTTAGACAATTGGCGAACAGAAAAGAAGCATCACTAACCTTTGACTGGCTGAGGCTCGAAAAAGTTATGTTTGACTCTCTGAATCGCACTGTCGAGTTTCTGAATATCCTCAATAACCGAAGGTAAATCCTCAAGTACAAGCCTCCCTGCCCCAATGGAGAATCTTTGCTTGAATCCGAGGAGGTCATGACCACGACCTCCACCAACGTCAACAAGTAGCGGGAAATCGGTCGACGCTCCATCCAGTAACTGCTGCTGAGCGGGGAACCAGTCAGTCCAGTGAGAGGTGTCATCTCGACCGCCCTCCATGAAAGTATTAAAACGATCTAATGCATCTGGGTTCTTGGCTAGCCAGTCCCAGCAAGAACCAGCTGTGTTATAGGCATGTTGAAATGGCCCATTAATGGGGTCTCCAGGGTTCTTGTAGTCAGACTTTTGGAAGAATTCCGGTGTTTTCTGAATGATGGGTAAAAAGTCCATGAAGCTAAATTGATCGTGTTTGGTCAGAACAGGTCGGGGGTGGCAGTTGTTGTACAGATAAGAAGATACTAACAGTGAGTCCATTGTCCCAATCGTCTTCCTCTCTGTCATCTTGCTTGATAGTTCGGTAGACGCATATTGGCCGGGACCCAGTTCACTAGCGAAGCCATTGCAAACAAGGACACGCATTATACGTTCTACCAAAATGGTCAATGTGTGCAACAAGATTCATGTCTATACAAATGCTTACCAACAAGTTGGATATCGGCATTTTTAGGTGCAGCCAACTCTTCCCAGGTGACCGCAGAGCGCTTCTCAGACAAAATTGTAAAGATACCCATGTCATTGGCGGTCTTAACCGCCATCAGAATAGCAGGCTTTTGGATCCAAACATTAGCAGTGAATAGATCAAGTACTGAAGATCAGTTCATACCGAAGCAAATAGCTTGTAGATTGCGTCTGCTGGAGTCTCGAGAGCTCTCACTAGTCTCACGGCACTTGCGAGTGCATCCTGTCGCGCCTCTTCGGTGTTGGCTGCTTGGTATACATCAATACTTGCCACAGCCTTTGTAGTCAGACTGGCAATATTGGGAGATTCCTGTTTCGTCATGCTGGATAGAGAGGTATGGCGACCAAGCAAGATTTCGCGATTCTCTCTGCACTTAAGCAAGTGGAGGGTAAGTTTAATAATTTGGCAGAGTTCTTTGATTCATTCCCCTGGATGCATCAACTCTGGCGTTTGCGCCCTAAAGAAAAAATTACAAGGTGCAGCAGGTATCATGCAGTATCTGTATTCTAATACCTGGTAATTTACTATTATTATCAATTCCCTTTCCCACATGTCGCCTGCATACAATAACTAACTAACTAGCGCGGACCTAAATAATAATCGACAATGTCCTCGAAGACCACAAGGGAATGAATCCTCGAGAAACTGAATTGCGTCCCTCGTTACGTTTCATCCTGGAGGATCGGCATTTAGTTTACAGGGGTACACATTCCAAAACTTGTGGCTAGCTGAGGTGGAGAATAGTACCTCCCGGTTGCGACTTGGGGGAGGTTCAGCTCGGGAGGTTCAGCTGTGAGACGAAGACCGTCCAAATACGGAGTAAAGAATTGTGGATTTCGTGAAGTGGGAAACCCCACATATTGCATCGCATATCGATGCAGATCGCGATGCTGCAAGTAAATAGATCACAAACTCCACCCGACTCCGTGCAACACCGTGCACGGTCCTTTGGCACGAAGCGGTCAGAGAGGATGGGTCTTGGCACATGCATCCGGAGTTCATGTTCTTCCAAGGTTGGTCTCACCACTTCTCCATGCATATAACTAGAAGGAATGTTACAAGTCACTAATCGCCGATCGGGGCTACCTCTTTGCGTAATTGCCATGCGGGCGCTTAATCCACTTAGTGTGAAAACTCCGTCCCAGCGCCAATGAGTCGCAAAAGCGAGAGACATACGGAGATAAACAAGTGTGTCGGCTAGCGCCTCCATAGTATTTCAAACCAACCCGCAGCTAGCCCACGTCCTTCTTTGCCACTCTTCTGTCCACTCCTCTGCCCACCGAACGCCTTGAAAATTATTATTCTGCGCGTTCACGGTTGCATATACCTCCGTACCTGGACCTCGAGATAGTCCACAAATGGGTCCAAGCCCTCGCCCCACAGCCCAGCCCGCTGTGGGTTGTGGGTTCGGCCTTCGAAGCCCGACCCAACCCACAGGGCATTAATACCATTTCTGTACATAAATACAGTTTTAGCACGTATAAAATAGCATCAATGGCTATATTTTACATGTATACCAACCTGTATGTTCAGTATAAAAAGATATATAACTATATGTTATCTAAAGGATATTAATGTACTCATCTGCAGCAACACCTGTGGTACCTCTATTTACTGTGATGGTATGTATGAGTATTTTTAGTATGTAAATTATCTACTACTTTATGTGTAGCTCAGAGGGTAATTTAAAACCCCCAAAAACCTGGAAAGAATGTATTAATTATGTACCTACGGTAAATTGGCATGTTTGGTATCGTTTGGCTCATAATGGGCCCCCATTAGCCCTGTGGGCTTTTATTCCGGGCCCAAGGCCAACCGACAGGCCCGAAGCATGGGCCCGAAGCATGGGCCCGAAGCATGGCCCCAAAACCCAGCCCATTTGGTAGGTTGGGTTGGGTTGGGCTGTGGGCTGTGGGCTCTGTGGGCTTTGTTGAAGTCTAACCACCATGCCGTTGCAGTTGATCTTCTCATTTGAAATTATGTTGTAGAACATATGTAGTCATATGCATCTACGGCTACTGAAGCATGGAATGCTTTAGAATATTAGATACTTGACTTGGACTTTGGGGATGGAGTGTTGAGAGCAGCAAGTCCGAGGCAAATTGAGATATATTCCATGGTTTGATTGCCAGGTGCGCTGTATCAGATTGATTTTCGATCCCACGTACTACAAATTTGTTATGAGGGCAGATAGGTAGGAGCTTTCCCGACCCCCGATGATCGTAACCACGTTGACGTGGAGAAGTGCAGGACTTTGCTTGTACATATGTATTTGCCCGGGTGGCAAAAGTTTATACGACATGAATTCAATAGCCCAGACATGGGTATAAATATCGAGGGACTGCTAGATATTAACCATTGAGCTGAATGGAAGGAACTTTCCGGTTTCTCCAGCTGGACTCTGAGAATCTGTTCTTGCCAGTATGGCTTGTGAAATACGCTCCAACTGTTTCAACCTGAACCGTTGGGCATAATCTCCAGTTCTCGCACCCATTTATCCACTGCCTTCTCCATCAACCCCTTCGTTAAAACAACCTATAAATGCTTGGTCAGTCGCGGATACAATCAAGGAGCAAATAACGCGAGACTCACCAGTTCTTCTGACTCTATAAGCGTGTCGTGATCTGCGTCTTCAACAATGTCCCACTCCACATACTCCGGTCCAACCATTTCGTCCCAGCCACCAGCATCAAAGGATTCACGCGGGGCTTGAAGCCATTCATCGCTAAGCTTCAGCTTTGTCCCTGGTCCTTCTTTCTTCACAAGCTCCAATGCTTCGAGCACCATGTCTGCCATTCTGTCATGGTTGCCATGCCCGGCCCAGATAACATATATCCGCGGTCGGCTTGCATTTCCTGTGTTGAAGGGACGAGGCACATAATTCATTTTCGCGTAATAAGCTGCGACTCGATGCTTCTTTCTGAAAGCAGGAATCTCCACGTCGGGCTTTCCTTCGCGACGAATCGGGGGGAACACGCCCATCATTTCAAACAGGTCGACGGTTGCATCTGGGATACTGGAGGGCTTCCGAGGCAATGACAAGTCCAGCATGATTATTCCCAGGACTTGCTTGCCCCGCTCGTGAAGCTGGTATGCGGTCTCATATGCCGTGGCCGTTCCCATTGACCAGCCGCATAGCATGTATGGGCCGAATGGATCAATGCTGAGCATGGTGTTGGCATAAATGGTGGCCGTTTCTTCTATCGTCCAAGAGGATTCTGATTTGGTCATGAGGAATGGAGAGCCAAAGCTGTAGACTGCATAGTCGTTGAAGAACTTGGGCAGTGTGCTGTACACGAAAGCATTTCCCGAGCCTGGAGGGGTGATGAAAAGGGAGGGAACGCCTGCCCTCGGGGTCCCCTGGAGGAGGACCGAAAAGCACACATTGCGAGGACCGTCCTCCATGAGGGGTGCGAAATGAGCAAAGTCCGCTGTGTCTGAAATAGAACTGATTTGTTGGCAAATTGCACCGACCGTTGCCTGGGTGAAGAACAGAGATGATGGTAACGACACGCCTGTTTCGGCCTGGACGCGCTTAAGAATTGCGATGGATGAAATTGAATCAACTCCCACCTCAATCATGGGACGAGAGTGATCAATAGAGATTCTTTTCTCCTTTTCAATCGCCATGCATAATGATTCCATCACCTGGGGGCCTGAAATGGGCCCGTCGATACGACAATTGTCCTGTGCATTCTGGCGCTCCCTGTACGCCTTGACCAGATCTTCCAGTTTGGTCTTCTGGACCTTTCCAGCCATAGTTTTCGGGTAATCTTCATGTCCCAGCGTCTGGATCGATATCACATCTGCCGGAACATAAAGATCTCCCATCTGCGCCAAGACGGTGTCCTTGATTTGATTTGCCGTGGAATCATCAACTTCCTGATTCACAACGACAACAGGTACTTCGCCGGCAACATTGTCCGCTGCGCGTACAATCTGGGGGTAAAACACACTGATGTCTGGAATTTGACCCAGAACCGCTTCGATGGCCGATGGTTCAATGTTCTCCCCTCCCCGGATGATGGTGTCTTTGTACCTCCCAATCAGGTAGAGACGATTGTCGCTACCAATGAAGGCTTTATCACCAGTGCGGAACCAAGGACAACCATCTGCCTCGTTGTAAAAGTTACCATCGACTCCTCCGACATATCCATCGATCAGACTTGGACCTGAGAAGTGCATCTCGCCAGATTCTCCAGCGCGAGCCAGCATCTTACTATCCTTGGTATATATGCGGACAGACATCCCAGGTAGCGGTGTTCCGATGGAAACATCTCCGTCTTTGATAAGATCGCTGGCCTGGGTCACGATGCCAGAAGCCACAAGAATGCCTTCTGTCATACCGTAGAGGTTTTCCACACCGGACGCACCTAAGGTGTCGAGGCAGATTCCGATGACCTCTCCGGTTGGGGGAGAGCCTCCCATGACAATTCGTTGAAGGGAACTTAACTTTTCACTTCCAAGTGAAGTGTTGCCCAGGGCATGAAGCATAGTTGGCACCAATCCAGCGTGGTTCACTCGCTCCACCTGGATGGCCTTTATCACATCCTCTGCAACGAACCTAGGTCCTGGGAGCACAACAGTGGTTGCATTGAGGAATGGAGCGATAATATTTAGCCAGCCAAATCCGTGGTTATTTGGCAATGTAAATAAGGCCCGATCCCCAGGCATCATAGGAACACTGCTTTGGCGCCACCATGAGGCGGCCGCAAAGCCATAGGCCGATGGCATAATGCAACCTTTCGGGAGAGATGTCGTTCCACTGGTGAAAAATATTGTTTGATCCGAGAGATCTGAGTGATAATTTTGGCAAAGGCCTTGCTGCAACTCCGACTCCGGTGCTGGATTGTCCATCAGCTCCTTAAACGGTGTCCAGCCGTCCACGTCTCCTTCGACCAATATCCTGAGGCAATTGAACTCGGACGTCAACTCTTCAATACGCGTACACATATCGGATGTTCCGGCAATGATAGCCATGAAATCTGACTGACATCCCTTCGTCGCAGTTTGTAACATATGCCGAATTTCCCTGTCGTTGGATAGACCCCTGGGATTGATTGGAACGTAGGCGCAGCCCATCTGGTATGCAGCCCACGTGGCAATGACATATTCGGCGGTATTTGGCATGAAGATAATCAATGGATCACCTTTTTTCAGGCCTCGACGTCGTAAGTTGATGACAAATCGTTGTATAGCGCGATCAAGGTCCTGGTACGTCCATCGTAGATAGTCCACTTCATGCTCGGCAGTGGCATTGTGCAGGTTTTGGATTCCGTAGAGAGTAGAAGCCTGTTTGGTACTGACAAGAGCCATGACATCCGGATATTTCATGACATTCTGATAAAACACCTCGTGGAGAGTCTTTTCGCCGTCGGGAAGGGGAGGTCCGTGTAGTTCGCTGGAGGGCAACATAGTGGATGATTGGAGCACAATTGACAATACTCTTTTTCTTTTTCGAAATCACAATGAAGGCAACAATCCCGATAAATTATCACACGAAGGAGAGAAGGAAACCAGAAATAGTTAAATACGCGAGAAATTAAGCTACATACAAGATTAGGCAGGTCGCTGCAAACATTTTACAATACAAAAAGGGCTTTTTTCCCTGTGGTTTTTTTTTTTTTTTTTTTTTTTTTTTTATCAATTTTTTTTCCTTCTGAAAATAAAGAAGAGACATCGAAAATCTTTTATTACTGGAAAATTAGAAAATTGGGTAATTATCAAAACTCCCCACCCTCAGCTGAAACTATGGTGGATGTTGTACCTGCAAAGGGAACCTGTCAACCTACAACATGTTCATGGTACAAACCTTGGCAGATACAATGTGTCATCTCATAGCTGCATGTCTGATACTCGCATGGTGGGTGCATTGCAGTCCAATAGACACACTTACGACACACTCGTGGCTTGCATATGAACAACCCATCACATTGCGATCATGTCCGGTCCTCGAACTTCGAACTTGACGATAAGCAGCTAACTAAAGCACAGATGATGCAATGTTTTTGGAGACCAGAGCCATGATCCGGAAAACTCATCGATTAAGTTATTGTTGTGTCGATCTTCTCCCTTAACTGCATATTACTACCCAAAACGCCGATCTACGGTAATACACTTGTTTGGCACCCCACATTCGTACATATGTACACTCGTTAACCAAATAGACTTGTTACCTATCTCTCATATCAACTGCCCATCGCTCAATTGCAAAACAAACCTTCCACTCGAGTTCTACCATTGCGATCGGCTCACCATGTCTCAAACTACGACTTCCGCTCACTCGAAGACGACCATGCTTGTGGGAGACCAGTCTTTGGACGTCGCCGAGCTCGAAGAAATCAGATTGGAAAGTGTCATTGCGAAGGATCAACTCGAGATGGCCAAGGTTTTGAAGGCAGCGGAGTCTCAGGGATTCTTCTATGTCACTTTCAACGATGACCTCTCGGAGAAAGTCTCAAGAGCCCTCCAAACCTCTTACCGGACCTCGCATGAGTATTTTGCCAAGCCATTAGAAGAGAAGATGAAGGCATTTCAAGAGGATGTCATTCAGGGGTGTGTCAACCTGTAGTGATTCGAGTCAGATGTCCAGATATTAACACCTCAACAGCTACAAACGCGCCGGCATTGAATCTTTCGAAGTAAGTATACCCATGAATGTTTGATGCGTGGTACCTGACCACTCCCAGATCCCACGAGATGAACAGAACCGAATGACTTTGCCGAGCCCCTTCGCAGAACACGCTGAGGAGATACTAGATCTTTCCAATATCTGCGACACCATTGTACGCACACTTCTCCGCAGCATTTCCGATAGCCTTGGTCTTGGTGAACCCTCGAGTCTGGAAACTGCTCATCGCCCCGACGTGAAAAGCGACTCGGGAATAAAGTTCGTCTCTGGTCCAACCAAGGCATCCCTTTCTGATGTACCCGATACTACCCACACCGATTCTGGCTCGATCACCTTGCTCTGGTGCGAGAAATGGGCTAGTCAGATGCGCACCAAGGAAACGAAAGAGTGGTTATGGATAGATCCTAAACCGAATCGTGTCTTGGTCAACCTCGCAAACTATCTGCAAGATCAGACCGGAGGTCGCTTGCACTCCCCAGTCCATCGAGTGAGCCAGCCGTTGGGTGGTGTTGAGGACAGATACTTTGTGTCTTATTTCTTCAGACCGAATCATTGAATACAGGGGGTGTTTTAACAACGAAGTATGGTTGGTTTAAATTATAAAAAAAGAAATTGATTGTCTTTCCCTTGTCACTTTTTTGGTGTATTGAGAGGCCATAGTTAACAGAAAGAACCTTGGAATCTTTCGAAGGCATCCTGCCACTCACTTCATGTCAGTAGCAGTACATTCATCGAATGCAATTCTTGACTGTGTCTAAGCTGTTAAGCCTCTATGAAGTTGACTATACTAGATTGGACGTCAACTCAATTTATGTAGGCTGTCTTTTAGATATCGTACGATATATATATTTATAGGAACTATATCATATTTAACCATACTGCAGTACACTGTCTGGCCAGGAATATACCAAAACTCCAGCCGCATCAAATATGAGTGTCGTAATTCTTTGTACCTATTTCAAATTACATATAACTCTTAGTTTTGGATCTGTTAATAGTCGATCGTTTGTGTGAAATATCACATACCATATAACTAATTATGTTGTGACTAACTAGTTAATTAATGAGACACCTTTAGGCGTCTTCAAGCACTAATATTACTAATAATTATTTTCCGACCCCTGAGGATACAATATGAATTGGCCAGATTTCAGTGTAGCCACGTAGGACATGGACAGCTCATCTCTCTCTCTTTTTTAAAATCTTTTTTTTAGGAGAGTTGAACCTGCAGATCCGATTAACTATTTCAGCCAGCCACCTAGCACAGCTCACTCCTCTTTTTCTTTTATTTTTTTATACTCTTTTTAGGCGAGAGCTGAACTTGCAGATCGTGTTATAATCCTACCTATAGGTACCCACAGTGGGGCAGCGCATAATACCGATAGGTATCTATATCTGTCGCTCAGTATTGAATTGTATACTAAGCCTACACATTTTCCAAACCTCTCAGTAAATGTCCATACAAGATACAAACTAATACATCTGTGAACAGCTGGGAACAGACGTATCCAGTATTGTTTCCATGTCAAATTTGCAATCAGACTACCACCGCCACATAGGTTTCGCTCTGAAATATTGACCCAGTTTTGGCAAACTCCTATGTTATACTCCGTACGCCCTCAATCTTTAATACGATATTGGCGAATTTCAATCTCGGCAGTGATAGACCCACAGTAGGTTATACATCACAAAAATAATATATCAATACGGTATTTATAATTGACGTCATTTTGCAGAGTATGAATTACAGAGCTAGCACAGGCCGCATATGTAAATGCTGAAGCTGGAAATTTCGTTGAACACGCCAGACCGATGTCGGTCAGTTCGTTGGGGAGAATCGGGAGAAAGCGATCACGATACCAAGTCTTCGATTTAGACCCAACAAAGTCAACCTGGTTATGTTGGGCCAGAACTAGGTAAAAACGTAAGACCACTAGAATCGTAAAAGGAAATGTACGATTTGCAGCACTAGAACAATATAAAAAATAATTCAGTGGGAGAAACAGAGACGAAGACCACGGTCGCTCAAGACCTACAACATATGTACAACATAGACTATGCCCATGTGCTTGCCGCCACTGGCGGTTTGTTATACAGGTCAGAAGTTTGCAGAATTCCCTTCTTATAAGGCATCCGCTGTATTTGGTTAGGGCCGATCGCGGATATTCGTGGGGGGAACTTAAGTATCCTCGGCCATGGAATTCGTCCCTCCGCCAATAACCCCGAAATCCCGAACGGCAGCTCCTGGAACCTAGGATCATTCAATTGTGCTTTTGCATGCAAATCAATATGTCTTCAAATCCACCAGGTATCCCGTTGAGAATCACGGTTATCGGGGGTGGGATGGCCGGTCTCTCATCAGCAATTGCGCTCTCAGACATAAATCCCGACCACCAGATTACAGTCCTAGAATCAAACCCCTCCCTAAGCGAGCTCGGCGCAGGATTGCAGCTTTTCGCAAACAGCACTCGCGTCCTACACAAATGGGGCCTAACGCAGGCCCTGGAAAAAGTTGCTTTCCAATCCTCCCACCTGTCAATTCGCCGCTGGGAGGATAACACAGAATTGTCCTTCAACATGAACAACCCCGCCAGCACATGGATCTACGGCTGGCCCCAATGGCAGATATACCGACCGGACCTGCAGCAAGCGCTCTATGGACGGGTGAAACAGCTGCCCAACGTGTCCGTTCTATTTGGTAGGTCAGTTAAATCCGTGGACCATGAGACTGGGACTGTCCACACGACAGACGGGGAGCTCTTCGAGTCAGATTTCACGGTCGCAGCAGACGGGATCTGGTCTCGAGCCAGGCGATGCTTGCCCGCGTCAAAGGATGTGTCCCCCATAGCTTATCGGGAACATAACTACCGCGCTGTGATACCGCGGTCGAGAATGCTCTCTGATCCAATCACTGCGCCGCTTATGGCTTCCCCGGAGGCGAAATCATGGGTGGGGCCCAACGTATTCGTATTGGGGTATACGGTTGCCTCGGAGGAGTTTTATAATCTTGTTGTTGGTGTTCCACGGGCGAGCGAAGGGGTGCCCGTTGGGTCTTGGAATCACCCTGCCAACGTCGAGACGATGCGCGGTCTTGTATCTGATTGGTGTGAGGAAGTTCGAGCGCTGGCCTCGCTCGTTCAAGACGGCGAGTGCGTTTCCTGGACCTTGGGCGAGGTACCTCCTATTCCCAGCTATGTCAGTACATCTGGAAGGGTAGCGCTAGTTGGGGACGCGGCGCATGCTCTTCTTCCTCACGCTGCGCAAGGGGCTGGAATGGCGATAGAGGATGCAGCGAGTCTGGCGGAGTTTGTGGGACATCTGAGGTCGAGAGAGGATCTGCCGAAGGTGATGGGTGCTTGGAGCCAGTTTAGACAGGCTCGTGTGGATCACCTACGCAGTATCAGCCGTGGCAATGCCAGTGACATGACACTTCCGGATGGGGAACGTCAGATTGCACGAGATGAGAAATGGAATGCTATTCGCGATAAGCAGCGCGCACAGTTGGCTGAGCTTGGACCTGAGAAGGTTAGAGAGAAGATGATCCGGGAGAGACCCACGCCTGATCCCGCTTGTAAGAGCACATTTGAGCCTGGTGGTAGAATGTGGATCAATGGATTTGATGTGTGCGAGGAAAGTAAGAAGTTCTGTCGCGAACATCTGGGACTGCAATGAGGGATTGCTTGATGTCATGAAATTTGGGCCATATGATAGTTCAGCAAAATACAAATAAGAAAGGTTGTATTATTTGACCTCATTATCGGATTAATGGATAGAGAGTGGGTTTTGCAAGGAATTAGTTACATCTATACTTCCCTAGATCCAACTTATACTCCACGTCATGGTCGGTTCGCTCATTTGAGGTATAAAAAATGGACTCAAGCCCGAGAAGCTAATAGTCCCCCTCGCGTTTATAGACCCAAGAAACTCAAAGCACTATTAATCGGAGGTTGGTTTACCTTACCAAACACATATATTTAATAATAGCAGAAGCAGCAGCAGCGGAAGTAGTAGTAGGCTTCAAGTACAGTGTGTCCCAAAACTGGTGCCACCACTTTTACTTTTTGATTGTTCCTAGTTAAATGATTGAATAACATAACTGGCTAACATTTGGTAAGAACAGAGCATTTCCATCGCAAATTGAATGTGACCCCTTATCTTCCAAGCCTGATCGTAGAAGTACACAATTTACTTTTCATCCTTGCCCGGTTTAAGAATTGTCGCAGCAGGTCCAGCAGCCCTATAGCGCATTTAATTTCAATGTTAGTCGTGTGTAATGATAAAACAGGCCATCATTGGTGGAACATACGTTAGAAAGCTGGGTCTTTTGGGTCCCGGGAGGACACCTGAAGGTGTTCGACGATTCGTGGCAGACGTTGAGGCAGTCGTAAGTGGCTTTTTGCCAGTGTTCCTCGCTGGCAGAGGCAGTAGAAACCATCAAAGCAACGGTAGCGACGAAGATAGAGTAGAAATGCATGTTGATTGCTTAGTGTTGTAGAGGACTTTTAGGGATATGTTGGGTGATGAACATCGTCTACAGGAGTGTTCAAAGATATTTATGGAATTCGAGGGTCTTGCCAAGACTTTCAAATTCCCATAGTTCATTCAAACTACAGTAAATCCAATTTCCCTACTGCTAGGGACCTCTAATAGGGTAGGTGATGGGCGTCCGCAGTTCTTCAGCTGGGTGGACCTTTCCACCGTCGTCATTGAGCATTTCGCATCTACAACATAACATATCCCTTACGTCTTCTATCCAATGATAGTTAGTCACAAAATTATTTCAATTAGTATAACCAGCTTTACTACGATCAAATTGTATGTTAGCGATTGTTTCAACATACGGAGTACAATATTGCAAGAAATGAAACGGGTGACATCAACCACTGCTACCCTCTCTAGTCAGAATGCCGTCAATGTGGAACTGCCAAGTCTACGCTAATCTCTTCTAGCGCGGTGTATTGCATATACCATACTACACCAATCTGTGTGTTCTTTAGTAAGAAGAACATAGTATTTGAATGAAATAAAACGCCAATTTTACTAGCTTAAAGTTATATGCAGGATCCACTCGGGGTGTGGTTCATGTAACTCCCGAGGTCTTATTTTGGTCCGGGTCCACGGGTCTAAAAGTGAGTCCCCAGATAAGCTTCCCGCTGCCATCCATGTATATATCGCTTTTCGTCCTATAATCGTATAGGGTAACAATAAACTAATATAAATTCCTGGTAGATTGTGTGGAAAAGTTCATTTGTGGCAATGTATAGCTCACAATGACTAGGACAATTGCGCGTGGTACGGAGTATCTCAAAGCAGGTGCAATCACAGTGGATGCGAGTACTCATCACATCCATACACAGCTCATGTGTAACCTATTATGGCTACCTTAGTGCGGACGGACTACTCATCACTCAAGTTAGAATACGTAATTGAGCGCTGATCATGTAACTAGAGCGATCTTCGATGATAGTCTTGGCAGATTTTGCTGCCGAGCAGCGGGGCTGGTATATAATCTAAGTAATTCATCCTAACACGCGTATATTTATAGTATTATTCAAGGAATACCGAACTAATATGTGCCATATATCACAAACAAACGTATGCTTAATATCCTTATAGATAATGCAACTACCCAGGAAGCTTTGGAGGGGTGAAGGATTGCGATACTCAAGTATCTATGTGACACGATGCCTGATAGATGCCCGCTCGCATACTAGCTGAAATCAAATTGAACATCCTTGAGATTTCTGCCGGGCAATACTAGAAGTGGGGATAAGGTGGCCCAAGTACCTCAGCTCTATGCATGGAACGCCACTGTACTCCATATATGATTCATATACGGAGTATGTTTGGTTGATAAGGTAGTATCCGCTTAAAATCGTCACCTGCGTGATGATCTATCTCATCAGTATCATCTTGAATTGTAATCGTCTTTGTTGTAATTCGCTGCAAGCTAAACCCCGCACGAATGAAACTAATCAAGGCAGCATAGTATGGCTATGCATCTGCCCCCCGCCTCTTCTGAATTTCTTTTTCTGTGAGAAGGAATTCCTTACACCGCTATCTAATCTAAGATTATACTGCTATATAAGGACTATGTTTTGACATATCTCAAATGTCCGATAAAGCCTTTTTTTTTCTTTCACCGTTATACAATTGAAATCAAACAGTGAAAGCGATAGTTCGACGACGTATCGAATCATCAATCGGGCAAAATGCCAGACCAGAAGAACATCCAGGGAGACACATGGTAAGTTAACAGAGCTACTATTCCCATTAGGTTCTCATTGACGGGATATGAATTGAACTGACACAATCAGGCCTCGCCTGCCTAAGAAGGCCGAAAAATTCGTCTTCTTTCGAATTACCAACCCGCAAGAGTTCAAGAATGCGCTACCAACGATGGCTGATTTCATCACTACAGCCCATACAGCCCTGGTGAACCGTAACGATATCTTCAAAAAGAAAGCCGAAGGTACTCTCAATGGTATCATCAACTTAGTATCGCTCAATATTGCTTTCTCGGCCAATGGACTGGCTAAGGTAAGCACTGGAAAAGCATTTGTAAGAGATACACTTGCTTACTTTTAACAGCTTGGAGCGGAAAGGTTCAACGACGACATCTTCAACGGTGGCCAGTTTAAAGACATGACTGCCCCGTCGGAAGGCGAGCCAGCTGAAGATCACCTAGGCCTCGATCCTCAGCAGGACTGGGTCAATGAATTCAAGCCCAGCAGTGGTGGCATTGACGGTGTTCTCACTGTGGCTGGTGACAGCATCCCGAGTATTGACAAAATAACCCGGAGGACATTTGATTGGGTATTTAATGTCGGCAATGACAACCAAAGTGTTGAAACAGTCTATACCAGGGAGGGCCAAGTCTTCGATGATCATCTTGAACAGTCAGTTTTACCAAATCCCGTCCGGATATAGACATAACTGCTAACATCTGTCTGTGGTCATAGCTTCGGATGGGTGGATGGTATTAGCCAGCCCCTTGTTAAGGGATTGGACGATCTTTCGAACGCGAAGGATGGCAAAGGAATGACCCCGGTAGACCCCGGGTAAGTAATAATCGTCTCGTCTTGTGATATGGTGTGCCAGACTAATTTTGTGATATCCCAGAGTTATCTTTGTCGGACACGAGGGCGATGAACAGAAAACTCCCAAATGGGCCAAGGACGGTAGCTTCATGGTCTTCCGCATCTATGAGCAGCTAGTTCCCGAATTCTACCAGTAAGTAGCCCCATTGTACCATCATTATCTGTGGGCTTGGTTCAAGTATGCTGACTTTCTGTACCTAGTTGGTGTGCTGCGAATTGCTCTATTGCTACGGCAGAGGTGAGAAAGGCCATGGAAATGGGGAAGCCGATCGAGTGGTCTGGGGACGCGATGCGTCAAATGGGTCTGTTTTCCTCGCGATTGGTGGGACGGTGGCCTGGTGGTTAGTATCCCCATGCAGGAATAATATCCTGCTCCTAACCCAACACCTATGATACTGATCAAGTGCGACGCATTAGGTGCCCCAATGGAGCTTCATCCCCTAGAGGACCCCGGCTCGGACAAAAACAAAGCAATTATCGAAGCGAGCGCGTTGAAGGCATTGAATCACACAGATAGCTTCAACTATAACCCCGCAGACCAGACGAGGTGTCCTTATGCCTCCCATATGCGCAAAACTGGTCCTCGGGATGACTATCCCGATTACGCCAAGCATGTAATGATGCGCCGAGGAATTCCTTATGGGCCATGGTGTGATTTGGATGAACGGGCAGGTGGAGCTACAAAGAGTGAACGTGGCCTGCTGTTTGTCAGTTACCAGAGCAGCATTGAGAATGGGTTCGTCACGCAGCAAAAACGTATGTGCCTCTCAAGAACATTGAAAGTGTTGTATTTTCTGACGTTGTGCAGGGTGGGCAAATTCTTCCGATGGTCCAACGGACATGGCCAAGCACGGTGGAGGGGCTAGCCAGGGAATTGACCCTCTTATTGGTCAAGTTCATCCAAGCCGGAATGGGAAGAACGTGGGTGTTCGGGTCAATGGCAAGGACGAGAGTACAGCTGTTCAGATCAACGCCAAGTACGAAGACGCTCCTCGTATTCCCTTCCCTGACTCGGACCTTCAAAACCCTGCTCCCCAGGTCTACGAGGAATCTCTTTCGCTGGACAGGCTGGTTGTTCCGCATGGTGGTGAATACTTCTTTACTCCCTCAATGTCTGCATTGAAGGAGTACTTGCCCAAGGTATAGATGGGCTTGACTCACATTTTCGGTTGAATACTACTCCCAATGCTGTCCGATATTTGTCTTGGCACGTAATTCAGATAGCGAAAGCTCTAACATCTCTGAAACTCAACTAGCCGTAGGAAGTAATTGTCTAGAGGATCAGGATAAAGTCGGAGGGCATGTGTGACAACATTGTAGTATTGGGAGCATGGAGAAGAAGAGAAGCTAAGCTAAGATACATGAAGATAGGTTACAGATGATTGAGAAAACAATTCACATAACTAAACACAACTGGGTTGGTTGCCCCCAATACACCATGGGGCAACACAGTTCAGGCTGATTGAGAAACCAGCATCAATTACTGCGACATGCACAACCTAACTGAATTTTCAAGTGATGGGATACCCTAATTTTGAGGCGTGCCCAAGTTAACTCTGAGTGTAGAACTGGGAATGAAAGCTTATGATAGAGAGACGACATTTCCTCCAGGGCAAAAGAGTGGACCATGAGGTAAATCAATTGACAGAAATTAAGGTATGACGAGCGTATTAGTAGCATTCACAATGGTAAAATTCTCTAGCTAAAAACAATAATGGTCTATTTTTAAAAGTCTACATGTACTCAGTCATCATCAGTAACTATGCAAAGTAAGTACATGATAGTAAAGAGGCCACATGTTTCCACGGTAAAAAAACCGGTAATCAATGTAACCCCTCGTTTCTTGAAACGTTCTCTATTTCTGCATATTGACCTTAACACAAGCGCCAATCTCTGCTTTTGCCATAGCATACCCATGAGAATACTCCATGAGCAAACCCCCGTCTGTGGATATGAGTTGCTTGCATTCTTGCGAATAATGGTATTGTCGACGGAAAAGAACCTGCAAATGGACACAACTTTCCAGCGAAAGCAGTCCAGCGCTAGGGGCTTCTGCGATTACCCCCTGGAGCTCAATTAGCGCCGCGGAGATACCAAGCAGAAGACTCAAATTTTGTAGTGGTTTTGAAGACAGCTGAAGCATCTTGTCTGCGAATTTAGATGGCCAACGAGCGAGGAGCGTCATCAAATCAGGTGGAACAGGTAGAGAGGCTCGTTTAACCATCTCCAGGCCAATTCCAACGATACCATTGTCTTCTTCGGTGTGTGACTCATTTATCCCTGTGACCACCGTATGTTCTATCTCAAATCCAAGTTGAGCTCGCAACAAGCGGACCACTGCGCAACCCATTGGGTCTGCGGTCCTCCCCGGGGCGTATACAAACGACTCCAGGAGACTGCACTGAGTGAACCAAAGAGGCAGCAACCGTGATAAATCAAGATCACCTGCACTGAATTCCCGCTGGATCGATAGTGGCGGGAGCTGGGGCAAAGGTGCAATCTCATCTGTCGGGTCTGTGGAATTCGATGATCCAAATATGGCTTGAGGCGTATTGGAGTTGCTGCAGCCTTGGCAATGCGCGGCCTGTGAAAGGCCAACAAACTCAAAATAAAATGGAATGCGGTGTGGTTTTAAAGAATCGATCCATCGTTGCAGAGTAGTGAGCTCTTCTCTTGTAAAGGTGCCGAACATTTTGCCTCCCCAGCGGAGTTCCTTCACCAGCCTGCTCTTGTTGCTGTCGCCGGGATAAATCCATGGCTTGGAGGTGGTTAGAGCTTGGAGAAAGTTCTGCTGCCATTCCTCGTCCAGCAAGCTATTCGGGCTCAGCCAGTCATCTATAGAGCGATTCCCAATATTTGCTTTGCATCCGGCGTGTATTCCTTGCGCGGCCTGAGCTTTGGCACGAAATATCTTGCCCACTCTGGATTCAAGCTGGTCACAGGGTATGGAATCAAGTTTGAGAGGGATGTCTGCCGTCCGAATCCCCTCAGAACCCAGCCATTCACTCAAGATGTATCCTGCCTGAATCCGCCGCCACGCGGTGTGAGCGGCTTCTTTGCCTTCCAATTCTGATATTTTTTGTACATAGTCCACCACGCATTCCATCGACATAGCGGCATGACCGGAATGGCTGTTGTCAATGGACACATGAAGTATGAAATAGTATGGGTCGAGTCCAACTTCCGGTAGCTCCTTTGCTGCCTGCATTGTATCCAGCTGAAGCATTTCGAAATGCATGGTGAACCCCAGTATCTCCGGGAAAAAGTCTTCCGAAAACCTGGCGATCATCAATTGCGCTACAGCCGCTCTCCAATACCTGATGCAGCTGAAATTCCATCTAGGATGAAGAATTTCCTTTGTTGTTGGGGAGGGTAACTCTGGCTCGAAAGTCCTTAAAAGGTCCTCGTAGATGTAAACGTGGTGCTGGTCAATGTTACCATCCCCGAGCTCCTCAGTGAACACCTGCCAAGTCTTCTTCATGATTGGACGCAAGGCAAATGGTAAAGTAATTTTGTTCATCTGACCCAGCCAAGCGCCATCAACCAGCTTCAATGGTGCAATCTTCCTCAGCCAGAGCTCTGCTTCGTGTCGGTCACGAACCAATTGCCGAGGGCCACCCAACTTCCTCTGCGTGATATATTGAGCGTATCGATCCGTGACATCCTTCTGATGTTTTTGGAGAAACTGGGAAAGTTCTTCTTTGTTGAAAGTCTCCATTGATAGGATACTGGAATGTGAGTCTCTCTTCGTATATTCGCTCAATGCTTCGGATATCAGGAACATGATTCCTTGTCGTGCAAGTGGTAAAACCTCCGGATTATGTTCCACATTTTGCAGTCTGAAAAATAGACTTTTATAAAACTCCAGCTCTTGGAATCCTGATTCTTTCGCAGTCGGTTTCACGGCGGAGGGTATAAAGGTCAACTTCCTTGCGAAGTGAAGGGGTGTTCGCAGATGTGTGTGACTGTCACGAAGTTTCCAGATTCGGCGAAAGCAAAATGCGGCGGCGTAGAGCAAGAGGAGGGCGACTATCTTTGATATTGGTGAAGGGAGGATGGAAGCAAGCGGTATTTCGTAGTCAAACCTCATCGTCATGTTTGGGATGAATCCGAAGGCTAAAGGTGGGGAAGGGGAGAGCTACGAGGAATTCACTTATTTCAATACGAACCCCCCGATTCCTGATCTCCGATGCCAAGATTTTATCAGAATAGATCGCATTGGGTTCGTCAGGGGTCGATCTTGTGATCCGTAAATTTCTTCGACTTTCTAGTTTGATTACGACGTGTCAGGTAAAAAAAGAATCTCTTGCATGCATGTACAGTTCTTGAACACATGTGTACAGTTCTTGATCCTTGAGAGGTTACATCAACTCCCATATGACAGCTGGTGTTACGACGCATACCGCCACATCTATCCCTCGGTTAGCTCTGTAAGGAACGGAAACTATCGATCTATACGTGCATATCTGCACAGTCATTCTGGAAATCAGCTTAGACCCCTACGTAGTACGGAGTACGCCCTGTGGAGCTGCTTGCTGTGCCGCCAAGACGCTAACGGCGACCATATAGATAAAAGCGCCACATTCAGCTGAGGGGAGCTGAGAGCAGCTGAGGGTCGTTTTTTCATTACACCTTTGCATGGTATTATATATTTTAATGTAAGACGACATTATTATCATCATTATTTAATATCAATGCTAATTGCGCTCGATATAGGAAATACTACATATCAGCTCTCATCTTCTACTCCGTATGCGGAGGAGACTCCATTGAATTAAGAATCCCCGCTAAGGTCTTGGCAGTAGGAACCAGAGAGAGTTTCTTAGTGTGTACTGGTGGAGCCCATTTCAAAAACGAGTCAATATATATCTGTAAAAGCATGTATCTGTAAAAGACATTCTCTGTAGCATTTATTAGTGAAATCAGTCCTGAAATGAGCAAGAAATCAAATTACCACTCCGTATGGAATTAAGTTTGTACTACTCCGTAAGAGGAATGCTAAATGACGTGAACGGAAGGGCCCGTAATCGGCCCGTTCTATAAATTTCTATTTGTTGGGATAATTTATCTAAGGGACAGGTTAGCACACCTAGATATGTCCACGGGTACTACTGACTGTGCTAGTAATCTGGTGATTCTGGTCTTTAAATAAACGGCTGCTATTGAATTCCTCCCTCTAAAATCTCGGTATCTCATTTGTTTGTTCACAAGGTCTTTCTACTACCGATCCTCCACCACCCTGATCTTGAAATGACCGATGAAAATACACCTCCGACTGGGGGTCAGTTATTCTTCGAATACAGTGTCGCACCTGAATAGGATACAGAAGCGAGAGAGCAAGCATTCCCGATCGACCGTGTCTTATTTGCCACCTACTTAGGTCTAGCCCCTGCTTTAAAATGCTCCCTAGGGTGCTCGCGCTAACTAGAAGTCAACGATAGGAATATTTCTCGCGGTAGCAGATGGCCTTTTCGTCTTATCTATACTTTCTATCTACGCCCATCGTCACCCTCCAATGGCCTCTTTCATTCTCCATTTTGAGGGTTACTCCTGTCTCGGTGCGTGTTCATCAACACACCGCATCAACTCACCTCTACAATCCGCTTCTCAACGTATGCTTTCCCCACATTTGACGTGACTATCCCGTTTTGTATGGAGGGAAATGTCGCCTTCTTCAATCAGCTTAGCAGAGCCACATTTCCCAAAGACTGGGCACAGTCTTCATGGATGAAAGCAACTTCGCCTCGTGGTTCCCCGTGCATTTAGACGTCCACCACTTCATAGACCCATGTCGACAAGGTCGAATGTTCACCCACGATGAGTACCTGCAAAACCGATGTTGCATCCCAGGAATTCCCTTTGGAAATTGGTAGGAGATTGATGCGGTTACCACCAAAGAGGAGGGTGAAGGTGAGGGCGCCGATGAAATGACACAGCGAATACTGAGAACAAGGCTTAAACGGCGAAAAAGCGCTTTTCATAATGTTATCTGTAAGTATAGAAAGGACTCGGATGGTTCGGGTTTCTGTGTACTAATATAGGCGTGCAACATTGCTGGGTTTAAGAAGGAAGAAAGCGACACCTTACTAGGCTGCCTTCTAGACCACATGTGGTCATGGTGCTGATTACCCACCCCGTGACCGATGGGTACGGAAGATAGTTGTTGTTTGGGGTGTAAAAAAAAAGCCCCTTATCCTGATAACTATTATACCAATTCATATAGCCATATCAACTTCGCATTCTCCAATTGTTGACTAGGCCACGGATGAACTTCGCCATTTGGCACGGATCACCCCTTAGGCACTGGCCAATAGGAGATGATTGTTCCCGGTAAGACCGTGACGACTTCCTGAGAGGGTTGGCATGGATGTCTCAAATAGGCCGAATGGGTGAAGAATCTTGACCCATGGTTTATACATAAGGTCAATCATCTGTCTCCCTATCGGATCATTGTGTGGCGTAGCACATCCTTCGACCGAACCCCTAACGGGGACCCAGGTTGCATTATTGCATTATTGTCGTGGGAACTGGGAATGTATATCCATATGTATGTACAAACAGTTAGGCCTGTCTGCTTACATACGTCTCAATCACCTTGCTTTTTCTTGATCGGCCCACCATGAAGCCATCACCTGCTCTCATCCCGATCCTGCAAAACATTACCGCCTTTTCCTTTCTCGCAACTGCCAAAACCGTCAACCACATCGATCCCGGATATGACAGTCCCGTCTGGAATGTTAATCCCCGTCTGGAATGTTGATCAGTCTGTGCGGACTACCAGCGGCCTTGTTCTAGGCCATTCTGTGCGGCAAAAGCCTCCGACATCTCCGAGTATGTTGGAATTCCATATGCCGCCCCTCCGTTTGGACGTCTTCATTTCCAACCTCCAGTCCCTTATACTGGCAATGATACCACTAATGCCGCCACATCCGTAAGTTTGGCCGTTGTATGCCCGCTTCCTCGGTATTGATTGGTTTTGATTGTCTATCTCAATGGGACGATTGTTAAAACTCCACTTTTACATAGGGTCCTACATGTATCCAGCCACCATCAGCACCCCCAAGCAACAATACCGGCAGTCCACCGCCCCAGAACCTTCGTATTCCCCCTCCCTTGCCGCGGCCTTCGCAAGCGAGGTATACCCAGCTAGTGAGCATCTTTTGACCTTGAACGTCTGGACAAAGCCGCAGACAGGCAAGGCGAATTACTAGTCGGAGAATAGCTACCGTGTCAACACTTTCGGATTCCCTGGTAACTCAGCCACTCCAGTCAATCAGTCACACAAATCTGCGAACACCACTTCCCTTCGCAAGGAAGTTGACCTTTATTCCCTCCGCCGTGAAACCGAGCCATTCTCCGTGACCTCCGAATGGCCTTGGAATGGATTCATGACAATATGAGCAATTCGGTGGTGACTCAGAGCGCATTCTATATTTGCACAGCCTGCTGACGCTGGAATGGTTGACTCCTACTCATTCGCCTACGCCGATGACCCAATTTCTTCCGGCTTTATCGAGACGAGCACAACTATTTACGGTTTCCCAACCCTTACTACAGAAGAGACCAACAATCGCTAGTTCCATGTCACTGACTTGGTTGGCTGCGGAAACGCCACTTATGGCCTAATTGCCGTCAGCGACTGCATGGTGAGTAGGAGCGTCGATGGGATACTGGCTGGTTATGACCTTGCCAATGTTTCTATTCAACCCTTCGCCATACGGGCGAGTCATTGATGATGAATTGGTCTTCTCGAGCTACCTCAGCCGCACTGCCACCAAGGGTTGCTACCTGATTGGTAACACTCAAAATGAGGCAGGTATCTTTAAACTTGGACAAGTGCATAACGAGAGCTACTAGAACAACCTCAACGACCGTCTATACACATGCGTCGGTGTCGTGAGAATCGAGCAAAGTGGCTTCCCCGACTTGGTCCTTAACCAAACCCTTGGGACAGGTACATAAGATGGTATACACATATACACTGCAGCGTCCCTCAACAGACAACCCCAATAAACCCGTGACAGGGGGCTGGGTCACTGACAGCATCATAAGACCAGCGACAAACATGATTATACATCTTACCGGGCGCCAAGCCGATTGTCCCATTGTTGAAACCCCCTCGGTCCCGTTGCACTGAGGCTAGAAAGCATCACGACCGTGCTGGGGGTTCTTGGCAAACCACCTTATGTTCAAGTAACACGTTAGCAAGTGTCTGTTCAAGCTGGAATTGAATAAGTAAAAATGGTCATGCACGGTAATCCATACGGAGTAAATGAATCTGCATTGGCTTTTGAGAGTGGCTACCATAAATAAGCTAGGCCCCCTCCCCTGCGCGCATCCCCCTACTTCCACAGATAACCATAACACTAGGATTGGAGTGTACGGGGAGTGATTCCGAATTGGGAATGGGGTCGTCTATCAACGACCCGCCAGAAGCACTCGATCTACTGTTCGTAGATGCCTGGCTCGGCATATCGGCATTTGGGGGGTTTGGGACGGGCTGCAACTCGGTTCCTTCAGGAGCGGGGTCGGCACGACGCCCGGCACGACGCCGGGCACGACGCAGGTGGCTTGAAAAGCTGTTAGCGTCATGTTTTCTATGTAGTAATCCACAACATACTTCGAACAGTACTCAACGACCATGTCGGCGCAGATTTGGATTGCTTTGATACTAAACTGGTATGTGAGGTATACAAGCACAAGTACGAACACCATCCACGGACTTTTTTCGATTTGGCCGACCCAATTAGCAGTTTTAAGAAGGCCAGGGGCATCTTCTTCTTGGGTTGAAGCCCCTTTTGACCCTGTTAGCAATGCAATTGATTTAAACTTGGGAAAACGTATTGAAGATGCCAAAAGGCTCCAGAGGAAGGTAGACTTACCAACAAAGAAGAGGTGTGTAAAAACAGAACACATTATGGTCGCCATGGTGTTGATAGTTTTTGTTGCCATGATGTCGATGGTTTTTCTTTTGGCAAAGTAATGTAGAATCTATTGATGGAATATTGATGAAGAAACCTAACAGATAGATTCTTGATGATTGGGTTGGACAAAGAGGAGAAAGAGAGAAGGAGATAGAGGGACTATTTATATGAGTCTGTCTAACTCAGAAGCCCAAGGCGACTATAGGGAAGGTGCCAGCCTGCCTACGTCATAAACGGAACAGTAACAGGAACCACGATAGTATTTAAAGTATATGTTGTAGTTATTAATTGAAGGCTACCGATGCTTAACAATATCTGAATACCTAGATTATAAGGTCAATAAAATTGATGCCTTCTAAAATGGGCATAGGGACTTTTAAAGTAAACTGAATCTGAACTGAATCTGAACTGAATCTGAACTGAATCTGAACTGAATCTGAAGTGAATCTGAAGTGAATCTGAAGTGAATCTGAAGTGAATCTGAATTGAATCTGAATTGAATCTGAAGAAAATTAGTAGATCCCTTGGCCGCTAATTTAAAGGTAGGTAAATCTTTATAGGGTAGACTATCCTTTGTTTCCCAATGTTTACCGTGTCGGACCCAGCACGGCCTTGATGCTCTCTGGCCTAAGTGCAACGGGACTGAGGGGGTTTCAACAATGGGACAATCGGCTTGGCGCCCGGTAAGATGTATAATCATGTTTGTCGCTGGTCTTATGATTCTGTCGGTGGGTGACCCAGCCCCCTGTCACGGGTTGGGATTGTCTGCGGTTGGTTAAGGGACGCTGCAGTGTCCGTCAAAGCTTCTTTTCCTTTGGCCATCAATCGTCCGTATTCTTTTGGGCAGTCACCAGCCTTATTTCAAGCTTACTTCTATCTTATTTGCTACAGTAATCTGATTAAAATAATCCAAATACTTTAAAGATTTGATTTTATATTCATTCAGCTGGAACCAATACACTCTCTCGGAAGAATCATCTAACCTTTGGAAGGTCTACCCTAGCGACAATACCACCAGTTATCGTAGTACCAGAAGCCGCATTGAACGGTCCTGCAGAAGAAACATAAAGACTGCCCCGATCGAACAGAGTTCTACCAACCGACACAGAAGATGCTGATTCCAAATATGGCGACTCGACAACAACCATCCAACAGGAGAAGGATAAAGAGAAAAGGGAGAGGAACTTGATCATGGAGAAGATGCAGTATTTAGACATAGCGTTGGACCTTGAGCCTTGAGCTTGTATCAAATGACACACCCACTTCAATCGTACGTTTCTTTCGCTATAACCATATTGTAGACATGCCAAAAATTTCACTAATCTAGTTCAGAGCTCGAGAAAGCTGGATATTTAGGCTGTTCTCCCTCCTCTATGGTCCTTTTCGCTTCTGTTGCTGTAACCATTTCTCAAGACTGAAATTTCCTTCCCGTAGTTCTTCGGATTCCCCATTCCATACAAAAGCCATACCCCTAACACGCTCTCCTTCGCCACCGTTTTCGCTAGGGAACTTGATCATACAGGCCTTAATATGATACTTGCTAGTCTCATACGCACTTAACCGATCGAGTTGCTCCTGTGACTGAACCTCGTATGCTAGGCCCTCAACTGGGTGAAGAGGTGGTCCAACGAGTAAGGCAGGATATGGCCCCCAAAGCTTGATATGGTATCCTACCATCTTACCTGGTCGCATAATAGGGGGTTCTGGAAGTTGTAGAATCGATGCAAGTGTTGGTGGGTCCATTAGGGTTCCATAGAAGAAACAGTATTGTTTTTCAAATGGCTCAGGTGTATAAGAGTGCGAGGGGTTAGCTGGACACTGGCTTGAGGTATGGCCCTCCGAAGCATCATCTTGCTCGGCAAAAAATTGCATAAATTTGCGCTGCATAAGCGACGGCCGGTCCGTGGTCATGACGGCGGTGAGCAAGCTTTATTGTAAGTCAGTTAAATGCATGATTCGGAGCTGATTTGCAGCCTTACCTTGTATCAAATGCGTAAAGGTAGGTGTATGAATCAAAGTCTGTTCCACGTGTGTAGATGAAGTTAACTACCTAGGTATGATGCCATAGTGATGTGCAGACTACAGATGGTAGGTCTCGGAAGTAGAGAGGGAGTTGATTGCTATGGAGAGAGAGAAACTGCTAGATAACTAGGTGTTAATGCCTGAGGCACCAGTATGGGGCCTAAGGCCACCACAACACATAGGCCGAGTTTATCAGGGTCACGTGACGATGTTCCCATTGAAGTACAGTGACTCAGCATTAAGATTAGTCTTCCGCACGACCCATTTTGGGTCGTAGGTCTCGATGGCTCGGGTGCTGTGTTTTTTACTATGGTACTAGTACCATAATAAATAGCACTGGTATTAAAAATTGGATGCCAAGAGAGACAAATCCTAATTCGGATTAACCCCTGTAGTTGCAGGGAAACCGCTGTAACAGTAGGGTCTTCCTACTAACGGTACCTCGGAGGGAACTATCCCACAGCTAATAATGCTGCATATCCCGGCTATGGCTGTGTCTTCGGCTGTGGTGCGCGGCTAATATGAGAGTCTTAAAATAAGAACTCCTTTCCTGAAGCATTGTCTCTCGACTAATTAAATAACTGAATCCTCTCGTCTGGCCTTGGAGGCTGGCTACTTGGAGGATATCAAATCATCGTCTATTCCCGCTCTGGTGATCCATATTGAGGGAAACCATCATTTGACACGACAACTGATCCACATCATTGCCTATATTTCAGAGGAAGTGTTGTCATGGGAGTAATCCCTCACTCTATTGCGGATGAGCCTTCAGAGCGAGACCTTCCATTTGTGGATGTTTATCATCCCATGGATGAAGTCATGCGTACTTTCGATAGTCCTGTCGGTCAGAAGACACTAGTCGATTTAGTGACTGCTGGCTGTCCGGCCTTCCGTCGGGGTGTCCGCCTCTTGGTCCCGCCGATAAGCCGTCGAGCCGGTTAGCAAGGTGGTTCGAAAGGATCTGCATGCTGACCGAGGTAAAGAAAGGACAAGACACTAACAAGCCTTAGTCTCCGGTATTCGCATTTTTGATCCTTATTCACGAATCAAAAGTTGCGCTTACTCGAAAAACGTGTAGCTTGGCATGCTTAGCCCATGTACTGAAATCCTGCGGCCCGCTTGACCGGAGATAGCCGAATGCGTAATAGTCCCATGCGAGATAATCTATACGGAGTAAATGAACCTGCATTGTCTTTTGAGAGTGGCCACCATAAGTAAGCTAGGCCCCCTCCCCTGCGCGCCTCCCCCTACTTCCACAGATAATCTCTCGATACTGGTGACAATAGCGGTCAGCATTTGACTTACTGGAACCCTGTATCCCTCTGAGAAGAGCTAGCAGATTCAAAACAGAATGGGGGAATCAAATACGACGCAGAATCAGTTGCCATGTAACAGTGGTGAGTCAAAAGAGAGAATGGGTTACATCAAACAGAGGATTTATTGACGATAGAAACAGACCCACCCCTGACCAAGTCAAGCGTCAACATAGATAAAGCAACAGTATCCGAATTATTTGCAAAGCTCCGGATGGCAGATAAACCAAGTGACAATGGCAAAGAAGCAAAGGATATTGAATCTTACAAGTTCTGGAAGACACAGCCAGTGCCAAAATTCAATGAGGACGGTGGTAAAAGTAAGAGGGGCCCGATCAAAGTGATAAATCTAGACGAAGTGCCAAAAAGTCCCTACGCACTACTAGATGGCTTTGAGTGGGGAACCATCGACCCAGAGGATGAGAAGGAGGTGGTCGAGCTGCATGAATTACTGTCAAATCATTACGTTGAGGATGATGATTCCACCTTCCGACTCAATTATTCGCCGGTGTTTCTGAGATGGTCCGTTGATTCATACCCAAAACCGATGCCTTGCCTCAATTGCTGAATTTATCTTCTTACGAGCAGGGCCTTGACTGCTCCCGGCTGGCAGAAGCAATGGCATATCGGAGTGCGCACTTCCATGTCGCAAAAACTAGTCGCCTTCATTAGTGGTTTGCCGGCCAACATCAATGTTCATACACAAACGATTAAGGTGGTCGAGATCAACTTTCTGTGTATTCACAAAAAGATTCGCTCAAAGCGTCTAGCACCACTGTTGATCAGGGAGATTACCCGACGCTGCTACCTCCAAGGCATCTACCAGGCCATCTATACCGCTGCGGCGGTCTTGCCCACTCCGGTGGCATCGTGCCGATACTATCATCGCCCCCTGAGTTGGCTCAAACTATGCGAGTCCGGCTTTTCGCACCTACCATCGGGCTCCACAAAGGCCCGACAGATTGCAAAGTATTATCTGCCAAGCACTACCCAAACGCCTGGCCTTCGCCTCATGCAATCGGATGACCTAGATGCCGTCTATAAGCTTCTGGGGCAATATCTGCAGCGATTCGACATCAGTCCAACATTCAGCATAGACGAGCTTAGGCATTTGTTATTCTTTGGAGCCGGCCAGGCGAAAGAAGACTTTAGCAAACGGGTGGTATGGGCATATGTTGTGGAAGATTTAGAAACCCGGAAGATCACGGATTTTGTCTCCTTTTACTCCATTGAATCCGCGGTGCTCTCGCACTCCCAGAATGACGTGATTCGAACCGCGTATCTGTATTACTATGCATCGACGAGCAGCACTCCGAACCTTCAGCAGCGTATTCAGGGTCTTATCAACGATGCCCTTATCTTAGCAAAAAAGGCAAGGTCATATCGGTTTCTGTTAATCCGGAACCATCATTCATCCCTCCCTCCATTATTCTCGAGCTAACTAGTATATATGTCATCAGGCTCGGTTTGATGTGTTTAATGCACTTCATCTCCAGGACAACGACCTATTCTTAGAAAAGCTTCGCTTCAGTCCTGGCGATGGCCGCCTTCATTACTATCTCTTCAATTACCAAGTGGGTCCAGCAATCAATAAGGATACGTCAGATTGCTTGGACAGCCAGAGGCCTGGAGGTATGGGCGTGGTCATGTTATAGGGTTTTCGCACCAGGGCTCGTTTTATAGACTCTAACCATATATTCGACATCGGCTACCCGTGTGACACTGCACCGATTGCACCAACCGGAAGAGCCATGCGCGGGGGCTATTAAATGTTAGTTTCAATGGAATATTTGGATGGGTATTTGGATGGGTATGAGGGATGGGACATATGAGGGATGGGACATATGAGGGATGAAACAACCTTGGAACATACCTGCTAATGCAGCAAATCCCCGTATAGTTTCTCTTGTATTCTGAAAGATACTGTCAGACTTCTTAGCTTCTGAAACTCAGCTTCTTTAACAATTTATATATTCCCATCTACACCATGCAGTTCGATGTAGTCCTCCTGCGTGGAATAACTATTGTGCCTAATATACCTACAAAAATGAAGCCTTTGAACACCATACAAATCAGTGCATCTCCATTGACACTAGGCCTTTATAACGCTATCTGTAGTGTCCAACAACCTGTGAAAATATAACCACTATACCACTCTCTCCATCGTCTTTCTCCGTTTAGCATCCATATATCAAAAGCAATATTCCTTTTTGCTGAAACATATCCGGAGATTGATTCTATATTCAATAACACGTTAACACGCGTCTGTTCAAGCTGGAATAAATAAAAATGGTTTAGATGTTGAATATAAAATGGTTGTTCTAGATTTTACTTGGTGATCAGTCTTCTCCGTGTACTTACCTCAACGGCTTACTGGCGGCGGACATCCCCTGGCAACGGTGGGGGAGGAGGGATAGAGAGGAGGGTCGGCGAGCCCGAATCCGGGACGGGACCATCAAGAGCATCTCCCGTTGAACTAGGGGATAGGAGGGGAGGAAGGTTGTTTAGTTCGATGGCTAAGCCGTCGGAATCGGGTGTAGGGGGGATACTGGGCTCAAATAGGCGGCTTGAAAAGCTGTCAGCGTTATGTTTTCTCTATGTAGTAATCCACAACATACCGCGAACAGTACTTCATGGCCTTATATGTGTAGATGCGCATTGCTGCTATGCAAAACTGGTAAAACAGGATCGCCATCACAACCACGAACACAAGCTACAGAATTATCTCGACCAGGGCCACCCAATCAGTAGCGGGGGTAGCAAGACCAGGGACTTCGTTTTGGGCTGAAGCCCCTTTTGACCATGTTAGCAATGCAATTGATTTAAACTTGGGAAAACGTATTGAAGATGCTTACCAACAGCAAAGAACACGAGCGTAAAATAAGAACAGATCATAAACGCCATGGTGGTTGATGTATTTTGGTAAAGTGATGTTCCTACGAGTACGAAACTGCTTTATGACCTACGACAGAAGCCCAAGGTGACTAGTTATAAGGAAGGTGCCAACCTGACTACGTCATAAGCGGAAGGGTCGAGAAAGATGCATTTTTAATCAGGTTTACTCGGTTACCCTTTGTTTCCCAAGGTTTACCGTGGATCAGTCCGACCCCAATTGGGAGTCGAAGGCTCAAGTCAGACCTCCAACCCTTTCCCTTAGTACTTCGTAACTCAGAAATCCCATGCACCAAACACCATAAAACATGGCGGGTATGGCGATAGTTGGTGAGATGACTGGAATGGAAACCAAGCTGGAAAGTGATAGGAAAACCAATGATCTCCAGCAATATCGATACCTGAAGTCTTGCGCCATAAGTCCTGAAAGTTCGTACAACCTTATTGAAATAGAGGAAAGCCTCCGAGAAGTCGTTCAAGAAGAGATATCTATCAAAGAAGGAAATGCTACGCCGGGCATTAATACCGAAGAAAGACTCCGTATCTTGAATACGGAATACTGGCTCCTATCTTAGAGATGGTGGTACTATCGTTCCGACCTAGAAATTTTTGAATTGAGGGCCTTCAAACTTTGGCGATCATACCCGCGGTGGTATATGCATTATACACTTATTGAGGAATGCTCGGGTCGACAAGGATGCTGCGCTCGTGGATGTGGCTGCTGTCTTAACCGTAAAATACTTCCCCCACGGAGTCTTGGTGTTGGACATTGTACGCTCGAATGTGTATGTTGTCGGAGAGCGAGAGGTTTTGAAGTATCTCCTACCGATAACAAACAAGTGAAGGAACAGTTTAAGAAGGCCGTCCAGGAACGGGGCTACCGCATAACCAGATACCTATAAGTTTCGATTTTTGGCCTTGTCGGCGATAGCCGGGAGGGCCCATTTGACATGATTGATGCACCGCCGAGCTACGATCAGATTGGATAGAAAGGCGTAAAGGGACTGCTTGACTGGGTCTAAGCCAAGGTCTGGGGGTCCGATCCCTAAGAGATGTGGAGTGACTGAAAACTGGAGTGGTTATTGTTAGGTGGTGTCGTGGTGGACACCTGATTGCTCAGGATGTGATGTTAGGCTGGCCACTTAGATAAGTAGCTCTCTAGAGATCTGTAGGAATCAACCTTCTCTCTCTCTCTCTCTGGCAGCCAGTAGCTTCCTCAGTTATTGTGGTTGTTGTGGTTTTCGCTTGGGATTCTTGTACTCTCTCTCCTATTAAACGCAGATGGGAAAATGAAAGCCTTTTGGCCGTTTCACAATAGTTCAGACGATGAAAATTGTGATAGCAGACTGTTGAATCAGTATGCACAGGCCTGTCGCTGGACCTTTTTTGCCAGGGCATGATCGGATTCTAACAATTATGTTGAGCGACCTGTGGTAAAGATTACTACTAACTATGTGGGGAGAGAGTAGAGGAAGAATCATTAATTGATTAAACTAGAAGTGCAGGGCTTTATATACCCTGTTAAAACCATCTAAACTATGCTCAATCTGTAGCAAACATGCAAATAGCAGATACGCATGCATGGGATGATTGTTCAGCAAATTCCACATCTCTGAGTGGTATATTAATAAATCTCATGACAACCATATGTTTCATTTTAGGTGCATTCTACGTATATATAGAATCATCGCCCCAGGTATAGACAGACACCTTCCTAACTCAGAAGAGGCAACATTAACAGCTACCTGAATAATGTTGTTGTTTCCTTGAAGAGTCCAGTTGATGGGAAGAGCTTACTCTTCCCAGATTATACTGCTCAAGCCCGACGAGGAATTACTAGCCTGGCCGGGCTGTCCAACCTGCAGGTTGGCGACTAGATCGCCGAGAGTTCCACCCCGCGGGTCCCTTTTAACAATAGCAACATTCGATGAAGCCTGGTCCCCAATAGCCACCAGAGTACCCTTCTTATTGATGGCAAAGGTGCGGGGAATGGTACCATATGCAGAGGTGATCTGGCTGAAAGACACCGTGCCGTTGGAGGAACAAGCCATAGTCGACATGGAATCGTTCGGGGCGAATCCTTGATCAAAGCGAATTGAAGCATAAAGGGAGTTCCCAGCCATACGAAGCTCTGCCGGCGTACCCGCAGCCGGTAACTTTCCGCCTGGGTATGGCACAAAGGATTGAGTCTCCTTGAACGCGAGACAGCCGGAAGATAAGTAAGAGACAACAAACGCATGGAAGTGACCGCTTAATTCACTGACGGTGTACAGCATAGTCACTGAGTCTAAGGGGTTGGGTTTCCAGAACAGTCCGTGTCGGGGTCCACTGCCAGCGGTGTAATTCAGACTAGGGCACACATTTAGGTGTCCCGAGTGCAGGTCGATGGCATACACGCGGACCTGGTCGGCGCCTAGATCGGGAACGAGGATGAAACCACCGGTTGGATCGAGGATCACCTGGTGCGGGTGCGGTGAATCCTGCTGAGGTTTGATACCGGGCTGGGACATTTTGTAGCGGAAGACCTCCAAGGGCTTCTTGTCGGACCTAAGGGGTAAGGCAAAGGTTGAAAGAGCGGAACCGCCGCTGATGAATGTTAGTTTGTTGGTACCTATCTGACTTGGATAGACATCAATTACTCTACTCACTAATGCGCAACAGCCAAATACTTTTCGTGTCCGTGCTTGCCGCCATATATAACACTGTGGACTGCGGCGCCCACATCCACGGTATACGCGAGCTCTGTCAGTCTCCCATTCCGATTCACGGAGTAGGAGGTCAACAGGCCGTTCATGCTCGCATTTCCCGCATGGTCGGAGCAATACATCGTACGCGTTGATGAATCGAACGTAAGCCAGCTAGGGCCATCACCACATGATTTCAAAGATGAAGTGACCGAAAGCGAGTTTTTATCATCAAAAGAGAGTGAGTAGATGTTGCCGTCATAGTGAGTGGCATATAAGTTTGTGGCAGCTGCCAGGGAGATAAAGAAAGGAAGACAGCGAACCATGATGGGGTTGGGGAAGGAGAAGGATAGAGACAAGGGAGGTATGGGGTTAACGAAGAAATATATACTTCCAAGGTTACCTATACGGATCTAATTCTTCCGTCTTAGCTTAGATGCGTTTTGCTTCGTAGATTTCCCCGCAAATCACCGCATGTCCCACCTCTACCTTTTTGGCGTAGTCCTCGATGGGCTTTACGGTCGGCATTGGCTCCACTATGGGTTACCATTACCCATCCAGGAAATTGACACCTTGCCGAAGAAGAGGGTCAAACAGTCTTCTACTATTTATCTCGTTTAATGTCAATAACCCGACAGAAATATCCCTACAACTCCGCTATGAACTGTCACCACAGTCAGAAACAGTCGAGTCCAACAGGCTGCTCTATGTATTGACAACCAAGCGATGTCTTTTACGGTGGTTGTGAGGCTCGGTAAAACCTGCGTCGGGTCGGTGTTTGAAGAGGGTATTGAAGACATAGCGGCATCAGGGGTTGAACGCAGAACAAGGATAAATCCGGGGGTCGTATTCGTGTAATTCTAACACAACCAGGCTATTCCACTTACAAAGGTAATCAACGAATCACCTGCTATAAGTCAGTAGTGTGTTAGTTGTGACGGTCCTCGGTTCTTGACTGATCCCAATCTGCCGGGTTAGAGAGTATGGATGAACTCTGCAGGGCCTGGCAGCATTATAACTAGCCGTACAATGTGGATTTGGGGATCTGTTTGATCTAACTAGTTCGCGAAATGGGATTGTTGTTAAGCAGGTTATGCTTTGTACCTCCTCGCTATGGTCCAGTTGTCGAAGTTCCCTCCGACTCCATATAGGAATCGCCATTCTTCAATAGGGATCGATCGTTCAGAGATAAAATATTGTCCTTCAGAGCAGGAATTGAATCTACAAATCGGACGGACTCGTCGTCTTGTCGTGAAATTGCGGCAAATTATTGACCCCTTCTTATATCCGTAGCATGGAGTGGTCACAAACGAGGCTAGAAAGTCGTTCAAGGCATCTATGGAGACTGAAGGTACTACCCAATTATTTCATATTATTCAAACCTCCGAAATAAAACCTGAGGTAGTTGTTAATTAATTTCTACCATCTGAATCAGCAAGCTGTCATTCTGTCTAGGGGTTTTTGGTTGCTTTTTTTTTCTCTCGTAATTATTGTTGTAAGTTGAGCTCTGAGGAAGGAATGGGGGAAGAGATGCCATATTTGTTTGCTATGGGATCAGGGTATAAATTTGATCCTCGATCTCTCGTTGGTTTCCTTCTTTCTCTTTCTCTGCCCGAGCTCCTCGATCTAAGCAAATATCCTTACATTCTCTTCACACACACATTTACATCCAACAAGCTCATATCAGTGACTATCCATCTTCATCATGGCTTCCAACAGAGTCACCAAGGCTAAGGCTATAAAGAAGGATGTTGCCAAGTCTCCCACCAAGCCCAACAAGCTCGCCCGGGAAGCTGGTCGTGAGCTTCTAGAAGAGAGGCTCGAGTTTGTACTTACTTGTATCAAGGAGACAGGAATTAAGGTGATTTGTCTCTCATTCATCAATTAATTTCCAGCACTAATATCACTATTGTATCCCAGGTCGACATGACTGCTGTTGCCCGACACTATGGCATCTCTACTAATGCAGCCCAGCTGCGGCTTCGACGTGTTAACGATTATGTCGCCAAAATGGTGAGCGCTAGAGAGGCAGCTCAGAAGAGTGATGAAGTTCCGAAAGATGATGAGGACCTCGACGTCACCACAGAAGACGAGGATGCCTGAAAGGACAAACAAAAAGAAAACACATATCTGCACTGCACTTGATAGGGAAGGCCTTTACCGCGACATGATGTTGGAGGTGTGGATGTCAGAAGCATACCTACCTACCCTCCTGTTTGTCTAGGATATCTCTCGGTGCTAGACGGATTCTCTCCCCTGCAACATATGTATCATCTTTTTCGGGCGTTACCCCCACATGATTGTAAGGTAGAAACCAAGTCGATATCAACGTCTCAGGGACATTCTACAAAAGCTTGAACGCTCGAATGTTGGAGATGTGACAATGCCGTCTCCTGCATGTAGCAAAATGTTTTCTAATCACCTGTCATCTAGATCTAGGATCTACTAACTTTCCCTCTTCTCAATGATTGCTTTTTGCGGCAATTATTGCTATAGGGTGAGCTCATTTTGACCCACACATCTGTTCCGCTTGTATGTTATGGAGAAAAAGGAGACGAGGGTATACTTGTGAATAGGTTATTTGCATCATAAAATATCACAAAAAAAGCCTGAATACCTCAGGATATCAATATTCCAAATGTACATGTACCTAACGCCTTCAAATTTGAGTGTATCTACTTGCCTCCAGCAAGCATGAAGGTTATACCCCCAGCCGAGAGTATAACGAAGACCGCAGTCAAGATTCCCGCGCCAACCTTATCACCCGTAGTAACAGGTCCAGGTCTCACGCTATCATCGGTATTGGTGCCCCCATGTGGGTCACTTCGGGATGTTCCGCCATTGTCGGCATTGAAAGGGCCCTGAGTATTGAATGGGACCATAACGGCATTAAGAACACCCAAGACAGACAGCTGCTGTTCTAAGCCCATACTCCCATCCCATTCTGCCTTCTTCGTCCAGCGAATTCCACAGTGCTTCCCATCGCTTCCGCCGGAACATTGTTGACCAGCAGCAACAGCGGAGACCTTGAATTTCCCCATTACCTCCGCCGTGACATTGGCCGGTACAATCTGCGAAATGAATCCGAGCCAGCCAGTGAAATAGGCCTTGAAGGTTTTCTGGTTGCGATCACACTTATTGATGGGCTCACAGGTGATGTCAGACAGGATTTGGTTCCCGCCGGAGGCAGGGAAAAATTGATCAGATGTCTTGATCAATCCTGTTACACCTTCGAGCCATTTGCTTTCAGTGCCATTGGTCTATATAACCAGTTAGTTAAAATGGTCAATTCGCTGGGGACAGGGGAGAGACGTACGTAGTTGTGCATATAACCCGCACCGGAGATATACGTAGCGTAGTTGTAAGTCCATTGATGATCACCGTGGTCCTTACAATTCGCAGCGTTAGTAGTGGTATCGGCGATAACCCAGGTCTTCCTCAGCATCGGCGTAGTCGCACTCCAATCCCAGATCTTCTCGGCCCACTCGGCATAGGTCGCGTTCTTGGTATATAGTGCCAGCCGCGCTGACAGCTGGAACAACCCGCCGTTAGAGATGGCGTTTTTCAAATCATATCCATCCTGGTAAGGCCAGATCTGCCATCGCAAACCTCCACCGCAATTGTTCATATCCCAGCGAGGAATCTGTCCATTGAAGACACCCTCGGCCAGGGAAACCCACGAGGGCTCGTCTTCTCTTTCTGGGAAGTTCACTTCTCCAGCGGTTATCGCAGCTAAACCCCAGAACACTTGATCGTCGTTACCCAAGTATTGGGAGTAGTTGCTTGGGAAGAAGTCGTTTTCGCCCTTTTGCCAGTACATGCCTTCCTGGATGGCATCGTTAAACTGGCTGTCGCCTGTTAAGTGCCAGTACTGGATAAGGGTCATAAACATCGAGCCACCCTCCCACCAGGTATCGTCCATTTTCCCTGGAATATCCTTCGAGTCGCGGGCATTGTAGAAATCCATCATGGTGGTGGCGACGGTCTTGGCGGCATTTTTGAGGGAGGCTATCGGGAACGGCACATGTCAGTCATTTGAGCTGTTTAGCCAGTGTTAGAAATAAACCCACTCTCATCCTCGGGATTAACCTCAATTGCGATGACATTTTGGATGAGAAGGCAGGCCAAAAGGGTGGCCAGCCACCTAGACATAATAACAGGCCTCATTTGACACGAGCCGAGCGGTGACCGGCATCGGAAGAAATGCATGGGACTGAGAGATCAAGAGCAGAAGTGAAGTGCATTGAGATCAGGAGGATTATTATGAGTGCGTATCTCCAGGAACAAAAAGGTAATCAGACAATGGAACCCATTAGATTATATCGAGTCATCACGATGAAACCAGTCACTTGGCACAGAGGCGCCGTATGAACGGGATTATGTACACAGTGATATTCCAAGACATTGGCGCAGCCAATCCTGTTGCCTGACTTTTGTTCTGGATGCAGCTCTTCTCAGCACTGCCCAGTTTTTTGGTGCTTGGCATTGAATTTTCCTTTGGGAAATGAGAGTGTAGTAATGCCAAGAGACCCCCTTACCCGGTGTACCCGGGGTAGGCGCTTAGGGGATGCACAAACTCTGCATTCGAACATTTTCTAAAACGCTCTTGAAGTGGTGGAACATGAAAGTCTCTCAACACATTTGGCTTGGAAAAGGCCTCTGAATGTCATTTCATCAAGATAGGGGGCAGGATGCCAAGTCGTTTCCGCTGGCGCGGAGTGTCACGAGCGCCAAATTGGTTCTTGGCGGTACCATATTTTTAGGTCCGCCAAGAAATGCGCCGAGACCTGGCACTGCCACTCTCCCCTTTTGCGGGAATCACCTGCTTCGGGGCTAGTCTATGAAGCTTTTATAGTTCCATCCACATTTCAGATCATGGGGTTCCAAAATTAATGTGAAGGCACATACGAATACGGCGTAGTTTCTTTCCATTAACGGTAAAAAGTATTCCCCTAATAATCGGAGAGTCACTAATTCCGGCACTCACATTTTGGAGACAAAGCCTGAGAGAGTGCTGCGTTCTTTGTTTAGTGAATGCCTGATCTCTGACGTTTTAAATTCAACCGCATATAATTCTTGCTTTCTTTCATTTCTAGTGTCTTCCTCAACCGCCTCAGTCGGCTATTCTATGTTTATAGAATGTAGCTATATGACTAGACTTCTAACCCTCTTTTTCTTATATTCAAACATAGTCTCCCTGTACTAAATTAATGGAAGAATGTCGTGTTTGCCTGACCCGATAGGAAACCTTGAAACATCCCCGAGATCTCCTTCTTCCTGCTTCACTTCTCCATCTTCCATCCTCTGAAGAATCACACCAACTCGTCTCTACGGATGGCCTTCGGTCGACCTTTGAGGCCACAATGAATCTGAGTCTACTTAGCTCGATAACATATTTGAACACCGCGAGTGTCGCCATCAGGGTCGCAAAGCTTACGTGAGGAACCCCAGCACTGACCTGCTTCTGATGATGTTCGCGGCGGACTTGCACTTGGAAGGATATAATGCACCAACTACCGCAACCATGACGAGCAGCGCTACCAGTTGACACGAATATTCCTCGAGCTATATAAAACCACTTCGCATATATTTGAAGCTCCAGCAACACAGTTTGAGGACAGGGACCATCACAGGCCAGAGAAGTCAATGATGCTACATACTGATGGTCCCAATTTTGATATACCTTCGCCCACGTCTCGAGGCTTCAAAGTGTCAGACTTTCTGAACCAATGAATTTCTCGACCTGGAAGAAGGAATCGGCCATTTCTCCGTCATCGAACTTGAAATCCCGTGTCGAGAACGGAGCTAGGTACACAAAGTTACCTTCCAAAGCTGCAGTGCAGGCCATCAGCCGCCACTAGGATCGCAGTAGGTAAGTCGTCTCGCTAAACACTTAAATGTCAACTTCCTCGCCGCAGAATCTAATAGTATCGTGCCATAGCCGCAAGACCCTTGAAAATCCTGAACATCCTGGGTTTACCGTCCAATAAGGCTAGGGCGTCATCGTCCAAGTTGACGAAGTTCAAGCCTACCACTCGATTGACTGCCTCTTAAAGTTTACAGCATCTCGTCCAAGACAACAAAGATCAGGTCCTAACCGGCAGAAATCAAGCTATTGAAATACTTGGTCGGTATAAATCATGGTTCACGTACTGTGATACTTTTCGATCCCAAGAAGATCTCCTCGAAGGAAGTGATGGTCCGGGTGTCTACGACCTTGCATTTCAGTTTGTGACTGAATATAAAGTATACGAAACAACCATGACACAGCGATTTTGCGATCTAAGGCGCAGAAGTCGAAAATTATGCTAGATGTCCTGATGCTGAGCGATGGAAAGGATGTTTGTTTCGAGACCTGGGAGACATCGCCGTCAGAAGCTTGACGCGAACACCGATCATCACCATATACACCGAACGAGCGAGGAACATATTTAGTTCGTGAAATAGCCACATTGGTAGCAGCGTCTCTGCGATTACCATCTCATCAGACACAGCTGATGTTGAGATTGTGCCGTCAAATCGCACAGCTGTCGTTATATAATCTGCTACGGGCGATGGAAATGACCTGGCACCTCCTCAACTATCTACATGTCCGGTTCCATCCAGCACTCCCTGGACCATCTTTTAGCTCGTCTTTATTCGCTGTCGACGATATCTGCTTGCGCTATGTGCATCATGTGGCATTCGAAATGCCAATATACTCTGTCGCCTTTCTCTGTTATGTGTACCTGGTTGTCGAGGATCCCTTCTTCTCCTGCTCCTCGAGTCTAGCAGCCCACATTTTCGTTGACGTTCTCGATTTCATAAAATTGCAACTTGAACGGGCGAACGATGGGGGTACCGAAGTCACGGAGCGCACCAGAAACAACCGCATAACACGGGACCACATTGTCTATGGAAACTGCTGTGAAATGCGAAGTGTGAGGTTTGCTTATGAAAAGCTAAGACCAGCACGGGTGTTGCTCGATAGTGAAATTGCAGATGATGGCGGCAATGTAGTGGAAAATGAGTGGAAGTTATGATCATTGAAAATGGGAAGAGCGAATGAAGCAGCTGGAGACCAACACCGATATGAACCATAGCGACCTGAGTCTCTAACTACCTATCCATGTAGCTCTATCAAACTACCTTCTTACTGGACAATTTTGACTATATGTAGTGAGTATCCAATTCACTATAGCACGTGTGTAAGTCACCTGCCAGCACAAGGCGTTTGTGGAAGGCGAAAGACCATTCCCAGGGTGTGAGAAGTATCATTCTCATTTTGTATAAAATTGAAAGGTATATACATGTAGTTGACTGTTATGATCGGTCGGTCCACTCATTCGTGGACTCTGCATTTCGCGGTCAACTGGGACCGGCCTGGTGACCTGGCAAGCCAATTGATTCAGTTGCTGGGAACATGTTCATCAACATAGTCCACCTGGCAGAATGATCCATGCTGGGCATGTAGATGTCAAAGAGGAAGCTCGGGGCGGTCATGGCTAACAGACCAGATCAAGGAGCTTTCCCAAACAGACAGATTCTGACTGCAAGTCACTCATACCAAACCGGAAGCTGATATCAGGAGGGGAATCGCATCCGCGCCTTCAGGCCACAGCCAAGGCAACTGCCCAGAAAAGGGGAGCGCGTATCTGGCTGGATTTTCTGGTCCGGCTTTAGCCGCAGAAGTGCAGAATGAAACAAAAAAGGTTATCTCCTCTCTAGTCACCATGTAGGCAACAAGAAAAAGCCAAGACCAGTCTCAATTCAGACCACCGAACTCTCCTTCTCATCCAATCTCTCCCCAGGCTCCCTAATACCAACACCATGTTCAATCGCAGATGGATTTCCCCCAGAACCCTGCCCCTCATTCTCACCCTCACCCTCAATATCCATCCCCATCCCCTCCTTCCACATATTCACCAAACTCGTCGCGCCCATGCGCCGATTCTCCTCCTGGATATTAAACTTGACGCCCGCGCCGATAGGATACTTCTTGCTCGAGAGTGTATCAGCCAGTTCTTTGAGAGGGATACTGGTCTCGTCACTGATCAGATCTTCGTATATGGGATTGTTTTTGAAAAGGTTGTAGGTGGAGTAGAAGGGGCTGCGTTTGAGGGCGGAGGCGTGGTTGTGGCGGGAGGGTTGAATTTCGAGGGTCAATGAGCGCGCGGCGTCCGAGGGTGAATTGGTAGATGTGAAGGGGGTAGAGATTGAAAGTTGATATTTAGAGGTGGATGTGGAGGTGGGTGTCGGTAGGGGAATGGTTATGGGCGAAGCTGCTATCGCGCGGTCTGCCGCATGGGATGTTTCGAAGATCGCGACAATAGGGCGGTTTTGGTTTGGCGAGTTGTTGGTTGTGTCGTACTAAATGGATTGTTAGATCAGGGCTTGTGTAAATGATCATTGGGAGAGGACGCTGTACCTTGAGGTTGCGGTATGTTATTACTTCTCCGAATTTCTGGAGCGCGGCCAGTAGCAGCTTGCTTTCGGATAGGTTCTTTGGCATTGGAAGTCCAGTTATGTGGACCTGGGCGGTCATGCGCGCTAGAGTAGGGGACACCATCGTGAGATTTGTGAGGTTCGTGTTATTGGGAAGTTAAGTCGACAGAGACGGAGGTTGGAGAAAAATGGCGGATCATCGAGATCGGCACGTCTTGGCGGAATTGGCTATCTACACATACAACATACAACATACAACATACACATGTTCTAGAGGATTTGTACAGTAGGGAATAGCTTTAATTGCATTTGCAAGATAAGGTAACAGGTAATGTGATTTATATTATCAACTAAAAACGTGACATACCTCAACAACAACCCTTTCAAGTCGAGCAGACTGAGAAATTAGCCTCCCAACACGATGTACAAATGATAACCTACGTCGGAAAAATTGTACTCGAAAATAACATGTAGAAGATGATATAGAGACCGTAATAAGTCAAGTACGCAAGATAGATCTTCAAGATAGACAGGTAAAATGAAGCTATTCCCACCACACAAATCGGAATGGCTTTAGGCCCTGGAATTAGTAGATATTGAACAGACTTGGATGTTGCTATTCTGGTTGATATGGAAGATATAAATTGGAAAAAAAGGGAAATGGTATGTTCTTATTTAATTTATCCAAGGCATAGACATCGTCATAATATCGCGGAGGATTTCCTTCTCCGGACACGGAGGACACGGGATTTCATCGTCTCCAAGGCTTTTTTGTCTGGACAAGCTTAGAAGATAGGGATTCCAAGGCCGTACTAAAGAGGAAGGAAAAAAAGTCAGTATCAATAGGCAATACTCCGTAGAAACCAAACTTACAGCAATGGGGTCATTGAAACGAAGACCCTTGTCCAGAGCACTGATAGCCTCAAGCTCACTGGTCTCAAGCTCGAAATCAGTGACAGTCAAGTTCTGAGCAAGACGAGTAGGGTCATTGCTCTTAGGAATAACAGCGACGTTACGCTGAGTAGACCAGCGCAGCAGGACCTGGGCAGGGGTACGGCCGTGCTTCTCAGCAATGGCGGTGATAGTAGCATGCTCGAAGAGCAAGGGAGTATCCTTAGCGTGCTTAAGGTCAAGCTCAAGGAAGCTCAGAGGACCGAAAGAAGAGTAAGCAGTAACAGTGATACCCTCCTTCTGAGCGTAATCAACAAGACGGGTCTGGGTGAGGTAGGGGTGGTGCTCGATCTGGAGGGTAGCGGGACGGACGCGGGCATAGCGGAGCAGATCCATCAGCAGCTGTGTGCTGAAGTTGCTGACACCGATGCTGCGAGCCAGCTTCTTGTTGACGAGGATCTCCATCGCGCCCCAGGTCTCGTGAATGGGGGCGTTGGCGAACTCGATCTTGTCCTCGGCGGTGGTCCAGCCGGGAGGGTAGCGCACAGAGGGGTCGAGGTACTTCAGGGCAACGGGGAAGTGCACGATGTACAGATCGAAGTAGTCGACGCCCCAGTCGGCGAGCTGCTTGCGGGCGATGGGCTCGACCTTGTCGGCCTCGTGGAAGCTGTTCCAGAGCTTGGAGACGATGAAGAGCTCCTCGCGCTTGACAATTCCGTCCTTAATGGCGCGGGCTACACCCTGGCCGGCTTCGACTTCGTTGCCGTAGTCTAGGATTAATGGTGTTAGTGTCAATTAAGCTCAGTTTTGGAGAAGGATGAATGTACCGCAGGCACCATCGAAGAGACGGTAGCCAGCCTTAATGGCGTTGTAGATCTGGTCGGCACAAGTGTCATTGTTAACCTTCCAGAGGCCAAAACCCACAATGGGCATCTCATGGCCGTTGCTAAGCTTGACAGTAGGGGCAACCATTGTGAATTTAGTTTAAAGTAGTCTAAGGAGGAAGAAGACAAGAAATTGGGACATGGAGGGGTATATAAGTGACCCCGCCTAGTATGATTTGAAATATCCCCAAAAACAGAGAAAAAAAGGACTCGAGGTCCAGGCTAAATCAACCCATTATACCTCAATTGGTCTCTTGTTGGAGTCCTTTGCTGGGAAATCCCCAGAATTGCCCCACTGTTTTGCGGCTAAAGTGGTTGATTGAGACAGTTTAGCCGACAAGAGGGAAATATTACTGCAAATTGGAGAATATAATAGCCAAATAGAAGAAAGTAATTGGTGATTATGGTATAGGATTCCCAATTCTTCCAAGTATAAGTGTAACAACGTTTTAGGCATAGCGAGGCCTCTCCCCTTGCTGTACCCTGGTGATTAGTGCCATATTGACAATTTATTGCTGAGCGTAGCGAAGCATCCAGTATCATAAGGGGGTCGCATGTCACGTGACCTGGTTGTAGACAGCAGCGGTGAGGCTGAAAATTCTAATGTCAGGTGATCTCCTTGCGGCAGAATTTCTTAATACATAGCCTTAGGCATCAGTGACTAGCTAAATCACGTGATATATACTGATCTGCTCCAAATCAGATAGGGATCACGTGGCTACTAGAGGATCAGTAGCCTTAGGCATCTACTATATCCCTAGCTAGTTATATAATTGCGGAGCGAAGCGAAGCAATATAACTATTTCATAATCTATATACTTAGCTAGGTAGAGAGTAAACTAGCTCCTAAGCTAGGTACTAAACCAGGTGGTAAACTAGGTGGTGGTAAACTAGGTGCTAAGCTAGTCCTTAACAATTCCCAACACGTCTCGCCTTGTTTTAGTATGTCGGAATTCCAGTTGTGCCCCTATAACTAAACTAACGAATTCCCTCCTGCTGATTTGGTTCTTCTGCCAAGCTCGCGTTTTCTCGAATCCCCGTACATTCCCACGAAGTATGCTGATTCCTCGATGCCGTCTCGCCCGTTCCCATCCTCATCCTCATATTCGACACGGCGTCCTGCTCCCTCGGTCGCGTCTCAGCCTACGTATCCCAACGAATCATCACGGCACTCAAACCACGAAATCCCAAACCAAACAAGATGCCATTCCCCACGACACAGCAACTACGAACCAGAAACCCAAACTATCCCCACTCGGGTGGTTCCGACGTTCCCAAAGCCAACGACCATATACCACCCAACTATGCCTGACGCCGCTGATATTCTGTGTCGGGGACTTCGCCGCACAAATGATCGGCGACGACGACGGATTCGACTACCATCGCGCACTGCGCAGCGTCATCGCCGGACTGGTGATCGCGATCCCCACCTATAAGTGGTTCCTGTTCCTCGGGCGGCGGTTTAATTACAGCTCACCTGCGCTGTCGTTGGGGGCGAAGGTCGCCGTCAACCAAACCGTGTATACTCCGCTGTTCAATGTGTATTTTTTTGCGGCCCACGGACTCCTCGCTGGGGAGGGGGTCTGGGGTACCATGGAACGAGTGAAGGATAAGGCGTCGATCAGTATTCCCAGGAGTTTTTTGTTTTGGCCATTCGTGACGGCGTTCAACTTTACGTATATTCAGCCCCAGTCGAGGGGGATTGCCACCTCGATAGGCTCTGTGTTTTGGCAGACATATTTGAGTTGGTTGAATAGTCGGGGAGAGAGGAAGGGGAACCCTTCCGTCGTGGAAGGTTGAGGTACAAATCAACATATCCCTCGAAATAAGTAAATACAGATATCTTGTGAGAGCATATAACTAAGAGACTCCAGTATCGGGCGGTCCACATAGTGACTACCCACTCGGCCCCGCTGTAGATCTAGCTAGGCCTTACGAGTACGTTATAGTAGTGGACCCTAAACTAGAATCTGAATAAAGATGAACATTTCCGATATGCTATATGCCATATCTTACGGGGTTGAGATTGGAGAAACAACACGGTAGGATTCCTGAATGCAGGTGGACGGAGAGGAGAGAGACTGGTTCTGTCCCATGTGGGGCTAGGTGCCTCAGGCACCCAGGCACCCAACAACAGATCGCCGCTCGACCCACCAGCGCAGAACTCAAAGACTACAGCAGCGACAGCACCGCCAATGAGGACCGACAACTGTCGCTCGATCGCTTTACCTGGGCAAACTTCACCTGCACCCAGTCCGCTAGCGGTGTGGCCGTTCTCCTATCTGAAACCCCCATCGGTTTCGCGGGCTGCAGACCGCCGCCGTCGTAGTCTTCATCCTGAACCTAGTTCTGTTCGTCGGCTTCACCGCAGCCATACGGCTAACACGCGCGATTGAAACTATTTCTAGGACGTTTCTAGAGCTACGTGAGGTCAACTAGAAGACTCGGCTTCTACTGCACTGCACACGGAGGAATATGTCGGCAATTGGAAGAGAAAACTATGTATGTTAAGTAGATAGTACTCTTAGCTTAGCATGTCTCCTCATGCCCCAATACTGTGTACTACTACTACTATACAAAAATAGAATCTTGAAGATGGAATTCATTTCAGAGCAATCGCAGTGTAAGATAGCTATATATTAATCCCAAACATAGTCCCACTTCCCTTTGTCGACAGAGACCAGGGCAAATAGTATTCCCTCTTGTTGAAGAAGGAAACCAGCGCAAAGCATTCCCTCTTTGTTGGAAAGAGAGAAACTGTTTCTATTCTTCTAGCCTCTAGCCCTTCAGCTCCGAAGGAATGTCGACACACTTGGGGTGCAGCTCGATGTTCTTCTGACTCCACCAAGGGTTCTTCGCTTTAGAGGTATGATATTCCTGACTGTGAAATACGAATATTTGCTAACTCAGAGATTTATTTCAGATGTTCTCGAAACTTTCAGGACGGAGGACTTTGACATTCAGTATGGATCGGTGAACAGATTTCGCTTCATGGGTAACGGAATGACTTTGAGCCAGGAACGAGTGTACTACTAGGGTACCTTAGACGGAAAGTGAAGTCTTACTAGAAAAGACAAGATGATGCTGCTTTTTCGGTGATTTGAGTATGGATTCTTAAGAAATCGCAAACATTCTTTACGTATTTTGAGTCTGGAAAACAGAACATCTCCATAAGTCTATCCCAGCACTAAGAGAATTAATTACCCGGAAGCACTATTCCGGCGAGGATACTACTGCACAATCCCTAGGGATCATCTGAAAAAATATAAGATACGACAAGTCCCCTACTGCTACATGGACAAATATGACCGAAAACCGCACTTTGCTAAAGAAATCTTCCCACTTGTGGCGATAGTAAACAGTACGGACCCTGGTCGAAACACCATTCATGCCAGAACGAAACGTGCCTAATGCGGATAAGGCCTAGAAGGAAAAATCATCTCGGGGATCAGCGACATCCTAACAGAGCAAGGTCTAGATTCTCTCGATATTGTAATACGCGTTGAGGTTGCGGAGGGAGCATCCGTAGGGCTGGGCCGGGGCCACTTACTTACGTACCTAATAGCTCAGCTTCTACACTTAACTATTAATAACCTCAACAAATACCTTAAGACAAAAGTCCGGGTCGGCATCACTTACACCCATCTAATCTCTATTCCGTACTTTCTAGTTTCTCCGCATAGGAAGCAAAAAAAAAAACAGCAGAAATCGCCGAGCCTAATAATGCAAGTCACGCTAGTACAGGTCCTATCCCTGCCGGGGTTACATTTATTTACTGCTGCAAGTAATAATAGATAGGGATCGCCCGAGTAAATATCCGGGGACTATATTATAGGTGATGTTTTGCAGGATGCTAATTGTACGACTGGGGTTCAGTGAGGAATCACAAAAGTCCTCAACTCATAGCAGCCTATGGCTCCTGTCACCTGAATGAAGAAGATAGGGCTTGTGGCTGGTTCTCTGCATGAGTCTGCACGTATGACTGCATAAGGCCATGGGCGTCGATCGAAAAAATACATAAGCATTGCTTTTGCTCAATCACGTATCTTAGGACGAAAAAGAGGGTGTTGAAAAGAGAGGGTTGTTGAAGTATTCCGGTTGCTGGTCTATATTAAGAATGTTATTGGAATATTGATATTTCATATTTACGAATATAAATTCTTACCGACGATAAGTTACGTACCTACGTCTTATAAGTGTATGTATCAGAAGCTTAAAATAACTATAGTTCTTCGAGTGATTCTTTAGACTTACTGCCAAGAAGCTCTAGAACACGTCGGGAATAGCTCCGGAATATTAACATTCCTATACCAGTCTCGATACTTCAATTTACTGTCGTTAAATACGGCGCCTTGTCTCGTAACTGCTAGATCTAGTAATGGTCTTCCTATAGTGAACATTGTTATTAGCTAGAAGTGGCGACTTAGCAGAAGCAAGCTATGTTTAATAGAATATAGAGAGGGCTTAAAGTTTCTAAAAATACCTAGGGGCTCTTTCTTCCACTGCTGCAACTAAAATAATCCAAAGTACTTAACCTAAATTGAGTCCACAATTTATAGTATTATACTGAAGACTACCTAGGTAGCCCCCCCCTTCTTTTCAGCCGATTTCTACCTTAACACGCTCCTCACGAGGCATTTGTGCTTATTATTAAGGTAAGTGTTGTTTTTATTTATGAAGTCTATAAAGTTCTTTTTCCCGTATATATTTTATCTAAACTCTGTCTCGATCTAGTGTGTTACTCTCCGCAAAAAATATTATCTAGAGGGTGGTTTGAGTAATTGTAGAGCAATTTTAGGTCATTGCGTGAATATATTTGTCGAATATATTTGTCAGATGAACTGAAGGCTACGTAGGAATATATGTTAACCTAGAGAGTAGTAATATTGACTCAGGATAGAAAAAGGATACTAATAAACTCTCCTTTTTTTAAAAAAAAAGAAAAAATGATCCGTAGTAATAAACCATAACTATAGATCAATTAAGACCTAGTATCTAGATAAACTTTATATAGGCCTCTTTATTAAGCGCTTTTATTAAAGCCGTCGGCGATATTGCTCTTCGTCTCTACCTATCGTAGATCAATCTTATTCTAAAAGATCGCGTCCTTGACGAAGAACCACTTTATATTAAGCTAACGTATACTATCCTTATACGATTTCTTACCTATTAATAAGATAAGTATATTCCAAAGATTTTTCCAAAGTATCTTCCTCCAAACGCCACCCAAGACATTCCCTGCTATCCCGATTGTATCACAAAAAAAAGACATAAATAGAAAAGAAAATAGAAAAGAAAATAGAAAAGAAAATAAGGAAGAAAATAAAAGAAAATCACAAAAAAAATTACAAAAGACCACTCCCAGAATGATTATCATTACTTAAGTTTTGGCAAAATAGATATTTATGCCGCATCCACCGTGGCGTTATCATACGCATCGGGGCCTGCCCCATGCATGCTGGGACCATTGGACATGCGCCCGACGATCTTATCCATTAGGTCATCCGACGGCAAGATACCATCGAAATGGTGTGGTTGTTGTGACTCGCGCGATACAGATCCATGTCCATGGTGCTCCGGCTGGTAAGGGAGGTGGTAACTACCGGTGCCGACATCTCCGGGAATGGAAGTGGAGTGTGCACCCCATGAGGACTGGCCGTGACTGAGATCGTCAAGCGGCTGTGGGTTAGAGCCGTAGTAACCTAGCACACTGTTGCTGTCGTGCATATTCACGCTGTGCTGTTGAGGGGGCACGTAGTGGGATGCTTCGTGACCCATTGGGTAACCCATTACTGGGTGGGAGAGCGGTAGGTCGTGCACATTGAGCATGACTGGTGTACCACTGGAGCCGTGGAGGCTTGTGGATGGGATGTTCTCTGGTGCGAGGCTGGCGGAGAATGAGTCCAACACGGAGGTGACGGCGGTTTTATCATTGAGGCCGTCTTCGGGTTTGCTGATGGATGCCATGAAGTCGAGTTGGCCGGCAGAATTAAAGAGATTAGCCATGTTGTCGTGGTGGGATGGTTGGTACATAGGCCATTGCGAGTGGGATTGGCTCGGGTGGTGGATGAGGTCATGGGGTTGAGGGGCCGGGTAGACACCCTGGTGGGAGGATTTGTTGAGGAGGATGGAATCCAGAGAGAGGGGGGAAGATCAACACCGGAGACTGGACGCGGGCTATTGGTTGTGGTCCGGTCTGGCGCCGGAATCAGTCGTCTCCAAGTAGTTGTGCCAACTTCGCCAGGCCGGGTTTGTCGGAACTTCCAGACGAGAACGGCCATGCGCTTGCTCTCATCGCCGTGGTGGCCTTGGTATTGGTTGGAAAGCCGGCGAGAGCTGGGCGATGTGGCACGGAGCTCTTGTACTGCAGTCAATGAGCGGATGTAGTTACGGGTTTGGTCGTCAGCGACGCGAGCAGCCTGGGGATTTCCGGAGTCCTCGGCCATACGCTTCTCTTGAGTCAAGTGAGTGAACAGCTGAGCCCACCAAGATGATTCGAAGAGAGGCTTGACCTTTGTCGACTGGGTTTTGGGTAGGTCGTGGTAACTCTCTTGGAGCCCCTGGCCATCTTCATAGATATGCGTGCGGCAGGTCCAGTTGTCCATCTGGCTGACTCCCAACACATCACCAGCACTGGGGTGACCGTAGTCAAGGTCGAGCTGAATTCCAAGACGTGATCTCGCAGGAGGGAAATCGGTCATGAGCTCAAGGTTCACTTCTAACAAAATGATATCACAATCTAGGGGATTGTTGATGTCATCCACCATGGGAGCCAGTGCAGGGAAAGAAGACCGCCATCCGCTCAGTTGCTCAAGAGGCATGGGTGGTGCAACAGGGTGATGCAGATCACCCTGTAGACGAGTGTAGGCATGCAATGCCTTGTCGATACCATTGGCCTGCTGAGGAGCGCTGACCCACATGTCGAAGCTAAAGCCATGAATGGTGCTAGCAGGAGCCTCCTGCAGATTTGAGCCAAGGGTATAGTGTGGGGGTGGGAGATCCCCAGCATATGGTTGCATGGATCTCATGTGGTCATGGTATGAGGGGTGTGTGTGACTGCCGTAGTGGCTGGACGCCGAAGGGTGCTCGACTGCCGACCTCCATTTGGGAGCAGGTGCTGACCCATGCACACTCGACGAGCGTTCTGGTGATGTCTCACGGACAAGTCGCTCCCCTGGTATAGTGTATTAGTAAATAGAAGACGTATAGATCGTTCACATTTGAAACTCACAATCTGGATCACCCTTCAGGAAAGAGTCGAGAACCTGCAGATGGCTTGACACCTGCTTGCGGGTCCTCCGCTTGCCGGTCAACTTGAAGATGTACTCGGCAATCAGCTCATTGCGGCCATACGACTTCCCCCGTTCAGACCACTTTCTCCGACCCATGGGAGGGTTTGCTTCGAGGGCTGTAATCTATTGTCAGCTTATGAACAACACATCACTATGGTGGCATAAACCTACCCTGCTGGAAAGCGTCCTCCAACTCGTCGGACCACACTGGCTCTCCATCCTTCCCAGTATCACGACGAGGGCGAGCACGGTAATCCAAGTACTTCTGAGACTTGAGGTAGCTGCTTCGTGCCCGGCGAGATTGAGAGTTGGGTCCAACTGAGTTAAGTCTGCGGAGCTTGCGTTGGTGAAGCCGAGCCGCTACATGCTGATGATGCAAGCCAGGCGCCGACAAGGGTTGAGGAGGATGAGGGGCATGAGGATACTTGAAGCCAAGTTGATGGAGCGGATCCTCACGAGCAATATCAGCATGGGCTAACGGGTCTGCATAAGACTGGACATTGCCAGTGGTATTCTGAAGAGCTCGATCAGAATGACCTCCAACAGGATCCAATGACTGCTGGTTCTGAGTGACAAGGCACTCGGGTTGCCAGTCAGTAGCCATGGGGAGGGAACCAAGGACGGGCTTCTCGAAAAGAATGACAGATTCCGATGAGGAGGGGACTGAGAGGCACCGTCAAATGCTTACTGCCTGGCAAAGAACGCAGCCCAGTCACAAACAACGACCTAAAGAACGCAAGATGTCAAGAGAATGTAAGAACCTGGGAAAGAGAATGTGAGAGCGAGCAAGATGGAGTTTATAGGGAACCATAACTCCCCTTTGGAGAGGGGTTCTGTAGCCCCAGTAGCAGCATTGCTCCGCCAGGTCTACTTTGCCTGGCCTACGTCCCTCGAACGCCTTGTCCATACTCCTGCACAGGTCCCGGTCCTGGCCTGCGCACATCCAGGCCGTGTGGGGAGCAGAGGACCAAAGGACGACGGTAAGCCGACCTTGCCGCAGCAAATCAGGAGTCAAGACAGGGCTCGATATGAAGGAAGTTGTCCACGATGCAAGGGATGCTCAGCAGCACGAACCAGTGATGAGTGGGTCGGAGATTTTGTACAGCACGAAGTGACCTTCAAAATCCATCGCTCGGACCAGCATCAACAAAAAAACACAATAATCAGTGGCAATCATCGCGTCGCAGGAATGCTGGTTGTCCAACTACACTGTCTTCTCGCACGGGACGTGGAATGCTCGACCACCGCCAGACCTCACCACCGGAATGTAGGCTTGGCTGATCTCTGCTGAGGATAGTCCTGCGTACCATCAAAAGGATAAGCTACATTAGGGGAAATGACCCTGCAATCCAAGGCAGTTTAATCGAAGTTGTGGGGAAGAAAAAAAGACAGGTGTAGGCTGCACAGTAAGGTAAAGTAGGGTTACAGTTACGCCTGGATCAAGAGGGCACGAGACGCACACGCACGAGGGACGGGACTACTGCAGGGTAATTGACAGCCGCAAAGAACGTGTTCAAAAGTATTCGGGGTATCTTTTTATTGTCATATTGTAACTATGGTAGTATGCAAGTAATCGTACATGGTACATTAATCCACCTTTTCCCTGCAAGGGATGTTAACAAGCCAATCCATGGCTGTGTCCTTGTAAAAGGGAGAAGGGACGAGGGCTTCACTCTTCCTCCTGCCCTCCTACAGTGAATTTCTTGCGCCCGGCGCCAGAAGTAAGCTGTTGGAGCTTGACCCTGTCCATCTGCTCTCCTACCTTCTTCTCTAGGCGCGCGAGCTCCTCCTCGGGATCGACGGCCTCCTCGTTCACGAACTCCAAAACCAATCGTCTCCCCAGGAGATGCGTGTTTTTCAACGCGTCCATGGCATTCTCCGCTTCGCGAGCGCTTACAAAGTCTGCAAATCCGAAACCACGAGCAGTGTGATCGAACTTCTGAGGAACACGCACAGATCGAAGTTGTCCGTATGCTCCAAACAGAGATCTGATATCCTTCTTCGTGGCCTGGAACGGCAAATTCTTGATGATAATTTTCGTTCTGCGCGCCGCAACCTTCTTTGCGGTGTCTTCGCGTCTCCGCTCCTCGGCGGCGTCCTTGCCCTTGTGAGACGCGCGAATGAGAAGCTCGTGCTGGTCCAACTTGTAGCCGTTCATAGCCGACAGAGCAGCCTGGGCTTGACCTTTCGTTTTGAAATCCGCAAAGCCGAATCCCATGCTGAGAGTCTGTCCTGGTCGCTTGGGATCGGGTTTTGTCTTGATGCGACCGGTGATAAAGCCATCCAGAGGTCGGAACACTTCCAGGAACTTCTCATTGGTGGTTGAGAAGTTGAGGTTCTTTACGAAGAGTGTTGTGGTTGCTACGCTATCATCGGGCTCATCTGCAGCAAAGGTGTCTGCAGTTGAGAATCCTTGATCTTTGCCCCGAGTCTCGGGAGCAAGTGCGCGTGGAGCCGCTGAACCATCGAACAAATTCTTCGGCGCCTTCTCCAGGAACAAAATGGAATCACCCATCTTGCGGTATGCCATACCCTTGAAGGCCTTTTGGGCCTCGTCAGGTTGCGCAAACTCCACGATAGCAATAGTGCCACTCGGTGGCATCAAGAGTCGAATAATCTTGCCATATGGTTCGAACAGGCTCCTGAGCTCTGCCGACGTGACACCGTATGAGAAGTTCTTGACCAAAATAGCCGTATTTCCACGTTCGCGCTGCTTGAAAGCATCAATATTTACCCCATTCGAGGCGAAGTAGGCTTTCGTTTCTTGAATCACATGCGTTTCAGCATGTGCTTGCTTGACTGCAGCTTCTGAAGAGGTGGGATCAAGCAATTCAGATTTGGAAACTCCGAGCCTGCCAGCCACTGATGACATTACAGCATCGGCCTATATGATAATTAGTTTCAATGTCTTTGATATATGGTAAAAAGGCAAACTCACGTTCATGTAAAGGGAGTTCCAGCTGAATGAGGACCCAGCGGCGGTTTGTTTCCGCTTGATCTCTCTTTGCTTCTTGAGGGGAAGCTTTGACAATTCGTACTCGTCAATCTTGTATGTCTTCTTCGCAGAAGCAGGCAAGATATGGAGCAAACGACCCTGGAAATGCTTTCCATCAAGAGTCTGGTAAGCATCAATGGCCGCATCGGCGTCGGAGTATTGCACATAAGCGAAGCCTTTGCTGGTTGTAGAGCGGGTGTCAAAAGCAATATGAATCTATATCCAATTAGTACTCAAGGTCATTGAATATAATGTGTGTAGCTGCAAAAGTGGGTTTGAGTTGGCTCTTTCAGATAGTCAAGAAGCATCTACTAAAATATCTTGTCCTGGTAACATCATATGCAATTTGCATCAGATGTCCCTATCGGGAAAGTCATCATACGAGCACTCGTGGCAAGCAGGCTGAAAGCCAGCTGCCCGGTTGGGGGAACATATTGGGCAGTGTTGAAAAATCAAAAAAAAAAGTACTAACCTCTTCAATCTTTCCAAAGCGTTCAAAAATCGGTTGGAGATCCGATTCTGTGGTGTCGTATGCAAGATTTCTGAGGAATAAACGGGCGGAGTTCCGAATAAGCTCAATATTCGGATCTTGCGGCGTTCCCTCGGTGATGCTGTCAACGTCAGTCGTGTTGGGCGCAATTTTCTCAATGGCCGCAGTGCGCGATTCCTCGTCACGCTGCGGCGACTCATCGTCAGACGAGGCAGGTGAAGCAGCTTTGGTTGGCACAGCAGTCGTCGTAGTAGTCGGCAGGGCGGCCTTGTGTTGATCAAACTCATCTTGCTCTTCCTCATCGAGAAGGCCCAACAGACGACTTGTCTTAGACCGTAGCCAATCTGCGTCAGACACTGGTGCAGCCTCCACTTCAGGCTCCGCAGAGTTGTCCTGTTCAGGTGTTTCTTGAACCTCGTCTTCCTCAGTCTTGTCAATGACCATAGGCTCAGGCTGCTCAGGCTCTACTACCGTAGGGAGTTCTTCTGTCTTTGCCTTTTTCCGGTGTGAAGGCAACTCCTGGATCTCTTCTTCCTGCGCGGGTTGGTTAATAACGGGAACAGTATCCACAGCCGGCTTGATCATCTCATCATCATTGGCCCATGTCCGAGTTTTTGATGACGATCCCATAAGAGAAAGGTACTCTTGTAGCTTGGGGTCCTTCTCGCCGTCCCTCTTGCGCTTCAGGTTGTTATCCAACGATGCATCATTAACATTCGTGGTATCACGTCTTCGTGTAGGGTGAGCATCCTCAGCGTCATTTGAATCAATCTGCAATAATACGGGTCAGTCTCAAGACCACCTTAATTGGTCAGCGTGCACAGGCGAAAGGAGAGTGGCTGAAGCAAAAGAGCTGGGAATTGACATACCGGACGAGCGATGTCTACAGCGATCTTTGACATCTTCATATATGTCTTGTTGAAGTGCTTCACAGCTTGTTGGGCAACCTCATGGCTCTTGAAGCCGACGAACCCCATCCTACGTTTGGGTAGGACATGAGCATCGGTGACTTGAAAGCGAGTTGCAAAATGTTTCTTAAGCTGATCATTGGAGCATGTTGGTGGGAGACCACCCACGAACACTCTTGTGCTCTCCATTTTGGGATTTTGTGGTGAGTGTGAAGACTCGAAGTTTCTATGGAAAAAAACTTTTTTTCTTCTTTCATAGTGCCGCGGGCGGTCTGATGTGTAGGCGGTGTGTTTGTCGACCGGCAATAAAGTTACCCTGGCTGCTTCGCGTTATCGCGAGATTACGCTACCTAGTCTCTTTTGTATCGCATCACCGAAACACCGAAACACCCCTTTGAAGTTCTTTCGATAACAGCAATTACTAACAATGGCACTTCCCCCAGCTGAGAAGAAGGAGCCTATGGAGGGTAAGTTCGTCCTTCCTAAGTTCAGTGGCTAAGTGCTAAATGCTCCGTGCAGCGCAGATTAAGTCTGTGGACATGGTAAGGACACTCATGAGGAACGGTAACGGCCAATTACTCTGACACATTGTCTAGACCGAGGATATGCAGCAGGAAGCTATTGCCCTTGGTATGAAATATCGAGCGCGCGGGGGATAAACAAGGCTAACATACCCCCTCAGCTATCGAGGCCATGGAGAAGTTCAGAGTTGAAAAGGTATGCGCACTCTTCATCCACTTGATGTGAACATGATAATAACAATCTATAGGATATTGCCCAGTATATCAAGAAAGAGGTTCGCCAATTCTACCCCGCGCCGATCGCACTTCTAACCCCATACATCAGTTCGACTCCCGCAAGGGCGCTACCTGGCACTGCGTGGTCGGTCGTAACTTTGGAAGCTTTGTTACCCATGGTCTGTGGATACAGGAACCCTTCAGTTGACAACCAGTGACTAATATTTTGTTCAACAGAAACTAAGCATTTTATCTACTTCTACCTCGGACACTGCGCAATTCTGCTCTTCAAGACCCAGTAACTGCGATTGATATGTCTGCGCTCGACGTGCCACACTGATGGGGATGTGATATCCGGAGAAATGCGTTTTTCAAGCGACTCTTTTGTCTTCTAATATTTGGTCTTTGGGGCTGTTATCCTATGGTGAATAGCCATTAGTGAATTAAGCGCATCTGCCGAAAACACATAAAACGATCAAAAAAAGCATTGCCTGAGTTTAGGCCTCGGAGAGAACTTCAACCACTACACTACACTAAAAGTACCTGTATGATAATTGATAGTCCACGGGTGCCTGCTAGAAACGACAATCACATGTGTTTTTTTATACAGGGGCGCTTGGCCAATCACGCACCACTATAGCTGACATCACGTGTCTATTTGCCAAGACCGCCAAGCCACAGCGCCACACCCCCAATCCCGCTGCCTTCGTCTTTGATCGACCTTCAATTCCTCAAATAGCTCTCATCTCTCTGTTAATTCTCTTTCGTAATTGTGTGCCAACTTTTCCACATCTTGCGATCACCATGGCCTTTTGTATTACATTCGGAACCCATGGTAAGTCCTCTTGTTTTGACCCAGAAACCAGAGTGGACCCTGTCCCAGGAGTTATATTAAGTGACGGGTATTGCACCCGTGCTGTCGACGTTGCGAATATATCCTGCCGTACACATTGAGGGAGATACTGACGACAAATACAGAGTTCTCCTCTCAGCTCGAGGGCTATGAGCATGTTCGCGCATACTGCTACAACTGTAAGTTCTGACGTCAATAATCTATCGACACCTGCCTGTTATGGATGGCCTGTTATGGATGGTTCATTGATTCTCCGCTTTTAGGCCAACATTGGAATGGTCACTGCGTCACTCGATGGTATGTTTATGTTCCAGAACACCTAATCAGTAGTTTGAACTTAACTAATGCTTCTTCAAGGCCGTTTTTCACTATTTGCTTCATTGTGAGTTCATGCTCGGCTGAACATCGTTCTAAGAAACTGCTCCAGATGTCTAACTTTTACCTCGCTACAGCCATTGATTCCCCTTGCCATGCACAAGTACAAGGTAAATACGATTCTATCAATCACGTCTTGACTCCCTTGTTAACGTACTATATAGGAGGTCCAATGCTACACATGCCGTTATACACAAGACCTACGGTACGCTCTGCCCTGAAATAATCGAATACCATATGCTTGGTAAGCAGGGTAATAATACTAACAATGACCAAATCAGTGACCGACCCGACATCACGCCTGACACACGACCTCCGGCAGGCATGCAATATGGCATCCAGCCGCCCCCTCAGGCCCAAGGAGGCTGGCAGCAACAGCCTCCTCTGCAAGCTCCCCCTCAAGCACAGGGTGGACTTGGATACAAATGAGTTTCCAAAGATGTTCAAATTCTACTAGCATGACGACGCGGCAACTTTTACGGGGATGGTGGCAGAAGCAGGGTGTAACTGGAGACGCATGTTGCAGCCTAATACCGCGGGTTCACCCTTTGGCGTTAGGTGCTTTTGTATTTTGTCTTTCTTTATTTGCTATTAAATCTCAAACTTTTGTTTGGTCAGCCTAGCATATTTTGTTCCTCACAATGAATATACATGGTTGTTATAGAATGTTAGTTTACTACCACCCACTGTCTACCATGATTAGAACGTAATAATTGAGCGGATGAATTTCAAATTCGGATAAACTAGCAAGTAGGGGTATATGTAGCCATAAACAAGATATTAAATCAAGACCAAGGCATAAAGAAATGGTCCAGTAAAAGGTAGCACCATCAAGAACCTCAAACCTCCCTCTCCGAGGCCTTCTTATCCTTCTCCCCAAGATCCGTCGGCGTCACAGCCCCAGAAGGTGTAGCGACATCATCAGCCCCAGCCTTTGTGCCCCGATAAACCTTAGGCTTTTTCCCCACAAGATCAAGCGACATCATCCGCACAACACGAATAATACTCGCCCGTCCCTCGTACACCGGGAACACCACAACACCAAACAGTGTAATGAACAACCAAATAATCCCAACAACAACCCAACCCGTGAAGAACTTCTTGCTGAACACGTATGATGACCCGTACATCGGAATCGGCCAGATAATCAGGAAGGAAAATGCCATGAAGAGTGTGAGTGTGCGCGCGTAGAGTGCAGAGCGGTTGAGCAAACGTTCTTCCTCTTCGCTCTCAGCTTGCGAGGGACCCATCTCGCCTGGGACTAGTTCCAGGTCGACGTGGGCTTCGGCGGCGACTTCTGTGTCGTCAACTTTGCGGATTGCGCGCATGGATTCGTAGTCGTAGTTTTGTGGGCCGAAGATGTAGGTGAAGAGTGGGACGAAGACTACTGGACTGAGGAGGGCGGCGACATTGCCGGCGAGCATGGGGTAACTGGAACATTTTGTTAGATTCTGGTTCGCAGTATGGATGTTGGGAAGGGAATGCTTACTTAGCACCAGTAGTGTCGACTGTTAGGGTTCCGTATTGCTTCTTAGCGGTAACTAGCCAGGCAATGAGGGAGACTGCAAGACCGAGGGGTGGTGAACAGGCTGCTGCGACACGGTTCTGGCCCTTCCAGAGGAGGGTCATGGCACCTGGGAAGACGGCGGAAGAGATAATCACACCCATCAGCAGGTAGAGATATCCCATACCAATGCCAGCGTAGTAGAGACCGGTCGCAAAGCCCGCCATGATGATCGAGTAGACGATGCAGGACATGTGCGAAATCCAGACCAGTCTCTTACCTTTGGCGCTTGGGTTGATATAAGCCGCGTAGATATCGTAGGTGAAGATCGAAGAGACGGCGATCAGCTGCGCCGAGAATGCGGATGTCACAGCCATGAATATCATCAGCGTAGTCGCGACAGCACCGCTGTAGCCGAGCAGCTTGACAGCTGCAAAGGGGAGCACGAGTCCGGCGGTCACGTCGTCAGAGCTCATGCGATTCGAGCCCTCTAGTGCCAGCGCGGAGAGACCCATTGTGCTGGCGCATAGCCAGGGAATGGCGAACCAGCAAATACCGCCAATCACGTATCCTGGGAACGCGTGGACGGGGCTGGCGGCGATAGCCTTGTTGTAGTAGCCGTTGTCCAAGAACACTGTACCGAAGTTACCAACCAGGTTGATGATCCAGAAAATGCCACCCTCCTTAGAGCGCATGGTTAGGTAGCTTCCTTCGGCATTACCCTCAACGGGGTGACGCTGGGAGGCTGCAACTAGCGCATCGTACACCTTTGATGGAGATCCTAGCTCAGCGTTTGTGGCATAAGCGGAGAAGGCGAAGAGGAAGATAACGACCAGGATGACCACAGTGTGCAAGTAATCTGTGATAAAGGTAGCCTTGATACCACCGAACAGGGTGTATAGTACCACGCCAATCGGGAGCAGGAAGCAAGCTGCTGCAGTGGGCACTCCGGTCAAGGAGGTCATCACGGCCGACCCACCGGTGAGCAGCATCGCAGTAACCAGGATGTTGGTCATCAAGCAAAAGACTATAAACACAATGTGCACGACGGTTCCATAGCGAGCGCGGATGACTTCCAAGAAAGTGTGTGCATTCGGCGCACGGCGTTTGAGCTCGATAGCGAGTGTTGCGAAAAGAAGAATCTGGACAGTGGCGCCTATTTATACACAACATGTCAGATATAGAACTTTTTGGATTATACTAATATAGTGGGAACTAACCTGAGGCGTAGAAAAATGGACCAGAGACACCGTATTTGTATGCGACAGCTGATGACTGGAGAAGGGTTGCAGCCCATGTCCAACTACTAACAACGGCGGCGGCAACTAGTCCTGATTTGACGGACCGGCCTGCAGTTGAGAACATCTCAGAGGTTTGGACTTCATTCTGATAGCTGTGTGGAAGTATTTTGTTAGCTTATGCGACTATATTGAATGAAGCATCGAGACGCACCGTTTCAAAGCCCAAGTAATAAAGATCATCAGCAGAGCAAAGGCAAAGCCTAGTCCCAGGATAATTCCATATCCAAAGCTCTGGGACAAAGGCGCTGTGAAAATAACCCCGTCGGACGACATATCGTAGACGTGTATATAACCAGGGACCTCAAAAAGGGTTAATAGCCAACAGGGGAATAAATGTAAAAGATGTTGGCAATGTGCCTCGAATTAGCAATCAGCGACTAGTGCACCAATTGATATGGAAAGTACGCTTTATATAACTCTCCAATACTGACTTGGCATATAAAATTATCAAGCTCCCCAGATGCGGACGATAGCAACCTCATATAGGGCCGGACGCACAGCACCCCAAACATAGTATGGACCCTAACTCCGAATTCGCACAACCCGGGGCAAATCTGGACCAGCATGACGATCTCTGACCTGAGCTTACCTAGGTAGATAGGGATGCTGCATTTTGATTGTTAGATAAGGGCATGTTCTCGTAATGCCATGGCGCACATGGCAGGGATGTGGATCGTCTAGGTACGCTACTAGAATTAGAGAAGTAACATCTCAGTGGTGAACTGCACGGAGATTTTCAAAGAGCCACTCTGCTGTCGACGGATGAAGCACAAGGAAGGTTTTCACCGGGGGTATACACGTCGTCAGTCATTGGTTGGTGCTGGTTGTTATCAGTTACCCTTTTAGGGTACTGTCGGTTGGGTGGTTGTGATTGGCTGAAGAAGATCTAAGATAAGACCCCGTACAGAGTACTTGTTGTAGGTAGACATTCCCAGTCTGCCGATGCACATAATTTCGCCAATATGCTGGGAAATATCGGAGTGTCCCGGCTCCAAAGAAGCTTAGGGCTGATCAAAATGTGCTTGGTAGTGGAGGTTTCTCATTCTTATTAGAATCTATGGATATTTTGAGATCCACTATCTCCCCACGTTCGCTTTAATTTCTGTTAAACGTTATATTATTACCTAGCTTAATCAGAAAGTTTCAATTAAGTATTGACTTGACCAAAGGATGAATTAAATTCGTTATCATGATCTTCCCGACCTCGGGACCTTGGTCTGTAGGCTGCTTATCCTCATCCTACGTAGACTGTGTCATCAAGCCATAAATTTATTACTGGGCCCTATAATTGTTAAACGGTGGGGATTGAAAGAAAAAAAAATTACGTGTCTGTCTCTATTGAGGGAATTTGTTTTCTCACCTGGTATGGATATATATACATTTAAAGTGTGGAGCTATACGCGATGAATATAGCCGTCGACTATGCAACTTCACGTCTCCCTTCGCGGCTTTCAACTAGATAACTAACTATATTTGCAGAAACGATATCATCACCAAAATCTACACCTCGCTGCCGTCTTTTTGATAGATGGATGCTATACAGAGAAAGATGGGGTTATTATATCTCATGGAAAGGCGATGCAGAGAGTGGTATAGTGATGACATTTTCACAGGTTGTTGGACACTCTAGATAGCTCTACAAGTGTCTGGTGTGTCACACGGTCGTTCGCATTCCTTCCTCTATTGACCATTCCTATAAAACCCCCATGTTCCTCAGAAAAAAGTTCATCCCTGTCTTCATCCCTTAGCTTTATTTATACTCTTCGTTATAAAGAGCTATATCTCCACCTACCATCTTTTTTACTTGTGAATTTCTTACTTCATCTCACATCACTATTCTTCCATGCTCATCAAATAATAATGGGATATTTATTTTCTGAGTTGTGCTATTGGCATTGTTCCGTTGAACATCCAGCCACCGATTGGAATGATATCCATCACTGCTTACCGGTGATACCCAACCTTAAAACCAAGCTGGTCTGATATGGTACTGTTCAAGGCTTGTGATGTATATTCCTATATATCATCGAGAATGTTCTGAGCGAATCTCAGACTACAGCCGATGTACCCGAAATGCCAGCCGATATACCGAAATGTCTTGGACCAGTATCGATCCTTCTGGCTGAGGTGCAATGCCTTATGGGCACATCGTGCATTGTATATGCTGCTCTGGTTACCAGATCAGGAGGATGAGAGCAATCAGAGCAGAGTACCCCAGCCAACGACAGCGCTCAATAGCGTCTCCATCCTAGGCCGCAGTACACATTTTGGTTGGGTCGATTGCGGTATCATCGGCGCTGCCGCGACAACTTGTACAAATACAACGTGTGCAAAGATGAACAGATTTGATACAGCCACATAAACGGGAAATGCGTCCAGATCCCCACTAGATACGAGAAAGCACCCAATCCAGGTTTGGACACGAACAGCAACAGTGGAATAGAAACTTTCTTTGGGAAGGCACATGGCCCATATAGAGATGTTTGATATCAAGAATGACAACGGCGATGTTGGGGAGAAGGGGGGGAGTTATTCATTTTGGGATACCCTGTTGGTATCCAGGCTGACAATACTGGAGTATTTGCATGGGTGAAACGAAACGTCCAGAGCATCATAGTCAAAAAAATCATATTGCTATCAGATATCAGTTCTG